GAAAGATTTTTTGTTTGTCTCACTTTATTATCATTTTAATCTGCATATATTAAAACCAATACCCATACATATATATATATAAACCCAAAGCAGCATATATTAGCCAAATTTAATTAAATAGAATTGAATTGATCAATGATTACTGTACAAAAAGAAACCAGTAAGTTTCTCTAAACCGCCTTTAAAATAATCAATCACAGTCGAACTTGCTAACCTCAAGCTACTGGGCAACTCAGAGATTTCATTGAAACACATTAAATTTTTCAAATCAATAGCATATTTTCCTAATGAATCCATTAAATTATTAGAGAAATCTACTATCGAATTGCTGATTTGTGTGCTTGTGAAATCCGTGCCATCAGCTAGTTGTTTGGAATCAAGAAACTGAGGTGAATTTAATCCTGATGTCAAGTAATTGTTGTAGAAATAAAAATTTAGAATCGCTGCCGCACCATTTGCAATTCCTACACCCATACCTATGCCAATAGTAAAACTACAAATCAACCATAGCTTATTGTAGTTGCTGGAATTTTCGTTTGAAGCACAACTTGCATTAAATGCAAACAATTTTTTGATAATTGAATTGAATACTTTTAAACTTGAAAAGCTTGACGATAATTGCAAAGGATCAATATTATCAATATTAGTACTCACTTGAAGCTCGGATTTGAAACTTCTTTCAATAGATTTATAATCAGGCTTTTTGCTTGGAACTAAACTGGAATACATAAACTTATTATTTATAGTTAAACTTAAGTTCTTATCCCTAGTAGTAAGTGTTTTATTAAAGTATTCTTCCCTCAATGGGCTGAATTCGATTTCAATCAAAGTTTTTAGATTCTTTAACAAGTTATCTTGTTTTAATGATGATGTTTTCCATATTTGATAAGGTCGCAAATTATTCAATAAGTCGAATAAATTAATAAAGTAATTCACAGTAAGCATGTTAATAATTGTTAGTTTAGGTAAATGATCTAAACTAACCGAGTCTATCCCATCAGCAACTCCAAAAATTCGGCATAGGTAATTAACGAATATTGATGATCCATCATTAATCACAAAAACTAAGTTAGACTCTCTGATTATTTTCTCGTCAAATAACAGGAGCTTTGGATTAACTATAAAATGATTGAATTTAATTAAATGGCTACTGAATTCCTTTTCAAGATATTTAATTAGTTGATACGTTTCAGTATGGTTTTCACTTGGAGAGCTCAACACACTTATTTGAAATATGCAATGAGAAGCGTTTGATATATTATCTGAAACTGTGAGTTTGGGCATTATAAACGAATTCGGGTTATCTCCCATGTTAAACAAGTGCATCTTCGGACTTAGCGTCCTATCCTCATCAATATCTTCATCTTCTTCATCTGTTTCAAATACCATTACTTTATTTCTTGTGGGGTAAGGCACTATGACTGCAGATTCCTTCTCCTTATCTTCTTCATCCGAAACGCTAGACAAAATAGACGACGACACCTTTTCCTTCGAATTCTTCAAATCATTAAACGATTCATTACCTATGGATTGCCATGATGTTATAGAGAACTGTTCACTCATTTCTGGAAGTCCCTTGCCGCCGGTATCACTATTAAGCTGAGGAGAAACGTCTAAATCTGGATTAGTCAAAGCATTATATATTGACAGGTGGGAATTCAATACTTTTTTTAAAGACGAGGAGGTAATTGACTGCCTCACCTCAGAATCATATTTACTATTATTTTTGTCCATCTTTCTTATGCTAGACATACTGATTAACATTATATTCTAAGAGAATGATACAATTTATTAATTGTAGAAGGAGACGTGATTAAATGATAAGAGTGATTCACGTGACGATAAATGAAATCTCCTCTGCCAGAGTTTCGGAGTTTTTAAAGCACTCCCGAGATAGAGCAATTTGCTATAATACGTAATGCCAAAAGATATGTAGAATTTGTACTTATACGGACTAAAAGTTTCGAAGTTCATGGTCGATAGCATCTATAAATGAATTCCCATTGAGGAAGCCTTTCCAGAGAAGTTTATCAACTTCCGGAATTGGTATTATATATTCATTTGAAAAGGAAGTTTTCAGAATGCTTATATAGGCTGAGTGCAAGCCAATCTGATTACTAGCGTATACCTCGCTATTGATATTGGAGTTACTAGAACGCTGAACCATTTTGAAATCATTAAATTTTTCGTCGTTCAATAGTGGTATCTTGAAAGCTTGTAAAATATGATCTCTTATTTGGTTTTTTCTTCCAGTTTCTAACTCTATTATTATGGGGTATATAGTCTTATTCTTGTACAACTTGGGAAATTTTGATATCTGTTCAGTCGTAGGTTCGTGAAAGAAAGAATGCAAGATTTTGAATTTGGTTAGAGCATTATAATTCATTAAATCTCCATTGTTCTTATTCTTTCTATCGTCTTTTGGTAGTGCAGTAATGTTGAAGTTTATGATACCTTCCGCTAGTAGATCATCTTTGAAAATGAGTCCTTTTTCTTCGTTTTTGATAGTTTTCTCAGGAATATTCAAATATTCAGCTTCAGTTTCATAACCAATCCTAAGATTTGAAAGTCCATGTAAGTATTGCTTGAAGCTAAGATCACTAGGAATAGGAATCAACCCAATATATTTACGTTTAACTGATAAATTGGAGTTTTGCTTGGAAAATGATTTCCTGAAAGCATCTGCATTCTTTCCTCGAGCAATAATTAACCCTCCACTGACATATTTATCTAATCGGTGAACTATTTTATATTGGTCTGGATTCAATTTATAGTTGGGGTTGTTTGCAGAAAAATGTGTCTTTAGCTGTTTATATAACTGAGGAAGTAGATAGTTTGAATGATTTTTTGTTCCATTGCATTGGATACCTGAAGGCTTATTTATGATCAAATATCTAGAGTGTATATCAATTATGCTAATATTTCTATAAATATGACCCTTATCTATGGCTTGCAAACATTTTAAAAATGTAGGTTTCATGACTGCAATCGAAAAATTTTGATCTGTATAATTTTCTCTAATTTTTTAAATAGTCGAATATTGACATATTTTTTATTAATTGTTCATCTCAAAATGTCAGAAGGTACGAGTTTATCTCAAGGCGACAAAAAGGATAAAGCTAAGACTAGGTCGAGTAATAGAACGTCAAGGAATAATGGCAGACATAGACCAAGTAAATCCAAATCATCGGCAATAGCAGAAAAGAAGACAAACAAGAAAACTTCCAAGCCAAGAGATATAAATAGTGATTACAAGGTACTTGAAATATTTAAGTTAATTAGAAAATTCAAACCTGTTACTATTAATGGTATCCCGGTGACAAATATTCTTAAGCAAGAGGAAAAAAAGGAAAAAGAAGAGGAACAGAAGAGTATAATACATGCAGAGGAGACCAATCAAAGTAAAGAAAAGAAGCAAAAGCAAGCAAAAAATAAGATACAAAATGACGTACTCAAGAGCTATATAACTAGAATATTCACGAATCAACCAAATAAACCAATTTACTTTTCATTCGTCATAAAGCCGTCAGATCCCGACTTTCCATTCGATTTAGAATCTTTGAAACTAAGCTTATGCATACCATATACATATCCATATAATAAAGAGTCAAAACCATCGATTTACATTTTGAATGATGAAATACCTAAAGGTTTTGCTGTTAACATCGAGTTAGGGTACAAGAGGATTGTGGAGATAGCTATGAACAACGAGACTGACGAAGAAATAGAACTAGTCAGCGGTAAGGGGTTGTTATCCCAATTGCAAACCCTTGATAAATATTTAGAACTCTTCTTAAAACAAAAGAAGAGAGATACAATAAAATTTGTTAAGCTGAAGAAAAAAACAACTCCTCAGATGCATATGTTAGATACCCCATCCAGCTCACCTGTACCTACTCCAAAGTCCATATCTCCATCTCCGTCACCATCTCCAGTCATTTCGGATCAGAGAAATCAATTGATAGGCGAAATGATCAACAAATTGGGACCAAATGTGAAGTTATTGAAAAAGAATCCAACCACGAAATATAAAATAATCTTACCAGTGCATGCTGAACATACCGATAATCCTTTAAAACCAGTTCCACCAGAGATATGGAATTTACACGGCAGTTTAGAGATCTTTTTGAATATTCCTTTTAATTACCCAGAATCTAAACTTACCATTACTATACCCACCAACTTTAGTGAACATTTACTTGCAAAACATGGTGATATTAAGGACTTACAAACTATTAAATTGACGGAACAAAACGTAGTCCGCAATTTTGGAGCCTACAAATTTAGGGATGTTAACTTAACATTTGTTATTAATTGGTTTGGTAATTATTTAGGTGTGTTCTGTTTGAATGAAAAAGAATTTAATAGCACCGCAGAGCTTTTATTGTGAAGTACATTTAGTGTGTATATATATACAATATAATATTCCGAGCGTATAAACAAAACGCAAGAATCTAATTTTTCATATAGATATACGAGTATAACAAGATAGTTATTAAATACCTTAGGATAAATACATACAACATGGATACAGAAGAACTTGAATTCCAGTACGCTAATGAGTGTGATTTAGAAATACATTGCTCACCATTTGGCTTATCAGGTTTATATATTAAAGTAAAAGGGTCTAATATCATGGGAATTGGGTCTACTATGGGATTAATCACGGGCTCAACGAAAGGATTGATACACTACAACGACTGTCAGGACTTAATTGATCAAAAATACAAACTCTATGTTGTTGTAGACGATGATGGGATGCTTAGAATTGATTTTACCAAAATTTTCACTCTTCCAAAACGCAATAATAGTAAAGAAGGCGGAAATAATCAAGATAGAGAAGGAAGCTTAAAAGGAGACCATAATCCTAGCATAAGCATGTCACCTACAGCCACAAGTGGTGATAATTCGTACCCTTCGTCGTTAAAAAGCCCGCTTGATAACTCGAACTCGAGTGAAGGAAAAAGTGGTTTGGATGAAGAACTGTCTCACCAAAACGAAGTCCCTGCTCTAGTTTTTAGAGGGAAGTGTCCTGACGGAAGACCTGACAAGGTCGAACCGTTTATCGGGATCTTTTCCTTCGAGCGAGAAGAGTAGTTTTCTACTACCACATTATAATCCTACCCCCCATCACACTCTTCGGAAGTGATTACCTAGATCCCGTCTTACGCGGCTGGCAGCCGATTAATGGTGCACCAAGTAATAGCCCACCCGTATAGACATACCTAACATCACCGAGTGTGAGGTATATTTATCCAACAATCGAGTTTGCGTTTGAGTTTGACCATGTCCCTACAGAGTAATCGGAACTATAACCGATGAAAAAATACGCCGCTACGTAAAATACTTTATGGCAGTAATGCCTTATTCTGACAAGATATATCTTGTCAAGATAAGTATGCTGAGGACCATTAGCAATATACATTGTACTCAACCAAGTATATCCTTGTAACATGTAAGCCCGAAAAACATACATATCGCGTTTGCTGGAACATCTTAGATTCATCTATCGATGTGTTCCGACATACTATAAAGATGCAGTAATAAGTGCTTACGGTTATTCAAACCGAGCTATACTTTTTGGCCACTCTCCAGTCTACTTTGTACATTCTCCACTCTAAAGGAAAATGCGATTGATAACCGGAGTCCATCCTCGGTTATATTTGTGGCCTCGGGTCCTTAGAAAATGCGGAGGCATTTTCCACGTCCTGTGACAAAAACCCATTACATATAAATTGGTTTTATATGCCATTAAAGTATTTTTCATTAGTTATTAGTTTCATTAAGAAAATACATATATCAACTAAATTAATTTAAAATGGAAAGATTAAACCAACTTGCTGGACAATTAAAACCAACCTCTAAACAAGCTTTACTTGAAAAGAACCCAGACGATGTTGTTATCGTCGCAGCTTACAGAACCGCTGTTACTAAGGGTCTTAAGGGTGGATTCAAGGATGTTAGATCTGATTATATTTTAAGAAACTTCTTAGTTGAATTCATCAAGAAGACCAAAGTTGACCCAAAGTTGATTGAAGATGTTGCGTGTGGTAATGTTTTGAACCAAGGTGCAGGTGCCACTGAACATCGTGGTGCTTGCCTCTCTGCTGGTATTCCATACACCGCTGGTTTTATTGCGGTGAACAGATTCTGTTCTTCTGGTTTGATGGCCATTTCTGATATTTCCAATAAGATCAAGTGTGGTGAAATCGACTGTGGTTTAGCTGCAGGTGTCGAATCGATGTCCGCCAACTGGGGTCCACAAGCTATTTCTAAGGTCGATGCAAACTTAGCTGAAGACCCAGAAATGGAAAAATGTATGATTCCTATGGGTATCACCAACGAAAACGTTGCTGCTAAATACAACATTCCAAGATCTGTGCAAGATGAATTCGCTGCTAAGTCATACGCAAAGGCAAGTAAGGCTGTCAAAAGTGGTGCTTTCAAGGATGAAATTTTACCAATACAAACTGCCATTGCTGAAGGAGATGAAGATGAAGGAGATGTTACCTACAAGAATGCTATCATTGACACCGATGAATGTCCAAGAGAAGGTGTTACTGCTGAATCATTAGGTAAGATTAGACCTGCTTTCAAGAGTGATGGTACTACACACGCTGGTAATTCATCCCAAGTTTCCGACGGTGCTTCCGCTGTCTTATTAATGAGAAGATCTGTCGCTGAACAAAAGGGTTATCCAATCGAAGGTAAGTTCGTCTTATGTTCTACTGTTGGTTGTCCACCAGAAATTATGGGGGTCGGTCCATCTGTTGCCATCCCAGAAGTCTTAAAGAAAACTGGTTTAACTGTTGATGACATTGATGTTTTTGAAATCAACGAAGCTTTCGCTGCTCAATGTTTATACTCAGCTCAAGTCTGTAAAGTTCCAGAAGAAAAATTAAACATTAACGGTGGTGCCATCTCTATTGGTCATCCATTGGGTGGTACAGGTACTAGACAATACGCCACTATTTTAAGATTATTAAAGAAGGGTGAAATCGGTCTTACTTCCATGTGTATTGGTTCTGGTATGGGTGCTGCTTCTGTTCTTGTCAGGGAATAAGTTAATGATTCCCATTTATGATTTTATAGGCTTTATTTATTGGTTCTGTATAGGTGAAAAAGAATTTATGAAATAATTATAGACCGTGGTGCCTACTGTAGAGTACATCTTCTAAAAGTCGGATACATTCTCGCTAAGCTTAAACGTTAAATATACATATTATACAATTATCTAAAATACACATTTGAATTTTTGCGTTTCTGGGGACTATTCACCATATTGCTTGCATCATCATTTTCTATAGAAGGCGATTTGGAATTAGCAGCAGCATATTCTTTGTTCATTTGTTGGTGGGCCCTATGTGGGAAATAAACAGCATTAATTGGAGGCAAATAATATACGTTGGAAATAGGAAAATATTTATATCGGCTGCTCGATTTGTTTAGTGGAATCAAATTTACCTTAGATGTAGAATTTTCTAACATAGATTTTAAGTTTATTGAAGAAGAAGACGTAGCACTATATAACAAAGGAGGAACAGACTGATCCTGTTGATTGTTATAAGGTTGCAATTTTGAGGGAGAATTACTTTTGACCCTCTTACTAGACGATGCTTCATTTTCCGTCTCTTCGTCTTCGTCGTCTTCTTCGTCTTCACAAAATTTCTCTACGCCTTCTTCAGTATCAGCTATATCTTCATTTGCTGCAGTTGAAGCTGCCTCTTCATTTTCTGTTTTCGTTTCTTGACCAGCATTAATGAAACTTTCTCTTGAATTAATTGACCTGCCCTTAATCAAGATGTCTTTTCGATCGGCATAAAATGATGGGTTTCTTCCTCTGACAATAATCGGTTCACTTACCAACTCAAATAAATTAACTTCGTTTCTCTCATTGAACGTGTTGCTGGAATAATCTTCATCAATGTAATCATCATAGTATAAATCGGCTACTATTGCACTGACCTTTATTTTTAGATGATAATAATTTTGGAATGTTAAGTTACCATTATTTGGCGTCGCGCTTTTGAATTGTAGCTTTTTAATTGTATAGTAATTATCTATTTCAGAATTTTTGATAACTGATTCATTTAAAGTAATAGTTGACTGAGCTTTATCAATGGAGATTGGATTTACGAAATCATTGGTCTCATCAGAATCAACTTCATCTTTAGGTCTTTCCTTGTCTCTTTCTTTGTTATCATCATAGATTATAATAGGAATATTTCTAATTTCCGAAACATTGGTATTAGCAAGTATTTCAACCTTAAACCATTTAATAACCCGCGTGATTGAGTATCCATATTCATTGGTTTGGAGCTTCAAAACTTTATTATTTTCTTGATCATCTTTTGAGAAACCGGATAAATTCAAGTTCATAGATATTTGAATGTAATTTCTTCTGTAACAAGATATAACCTTAGGATCCATTTTGATATTAGGATCCCATGATATTTTAGAATTTTCTTTTTCTCCGTTTTCAGCGTTTTCTAATTTGGAAATAATGTAATTGTTATTATCCGTATCATTTGTAAAAAATCTCCCGGTCAAATAGCTTTGGAATTGCACTTTAATCTCATTATTATCTTTATCTACAATCTTGAAATCATTATCGGAAGCATTTTCCTGTTCTTTCAAATCAAGTAACCTAGTTAATTTATGTGCTTTGTAGTCAATCCGCACTTCAGGTGATGATGTAGCTTTAGACTTTTTTGCCCTCTTCTTGGTCTTATCTTTAACTTCTTTTTGTCTCACGGTAGACGATTCATCATTTGTTTCGTTACTAGACAACACGGCAGTCTTATCCATAGTAGGAAAGGACGATGGTAAACTTGATTGGTTCGAATATGGATTTGGGCTATTAAATGATTCAAAATCTCTAAAATTTCCATCAATAATCTGCATGTGTTTATTATCCATAGGAAATGTTTCGAGGCCATTTGGTGGATTGGTAAACCAATTCAAATCTGCAGTAGGTGAACCCATTCTCATGGCATTTCCCGAGTTTTGGGGTTGAGTATGCGAACTTGGATATAGTTGTTGATATTGGTGGTTAATTGGCGCATACATACGGTGCAGCTGGTGGTGCAGCTGCTGAATAGAAGCAGCAGCTTCTATTGGAACAAAATTGGCGTAATGGTTTATATGACCACTTTGGTTCATTATAGCGTTCGATGCAATATTCTCTCCTTGAGACAAGGATCCAATGCCGTTTATAAAGTTATTGTTACTCATGAAATTACTAAAGTTCTCGTTATTATCATTTCTCTTGGTGCTCTCGTTTTGTTCCCGTAATAAATTGCCTATATCAGTATTATGCTCGAGCTCTTCCTGTTTGACGCTGACATTTTCAGTTGGTATGGGATGCAAAATATCAGGCAAAAATAAAGAAGCAAGATCATCATATTGATCTTTCTCTGTTGATCGATCTTCCATTGCTTGGCTTTAATATAGGTAATTGATACTTGGATATATGTTAATATCTACACATCCAACGATTTTCATAAAGGGCACCATTTTATATACAGGATGTCATATACTGTATCGCCGTTTATATCTTTCCTGTATTAAGTTCGGGATTTGTATGACGACATAACCAAATCCGGTTTTGACTGATAGTAAGGATAGTATGGGGTAAATTGCACACGTTTATATTGATGCAAATACACTATTCAATATTCTCTCTTGAACTAATAGTAATATAGATTGCCATCGGAGTAAACCATTATGAGAGTTTTAGGTACGAGAATTCTTGAGGTGAGTTCGGACCATTTCTATTGTATTTTTCTATTTTTTCCGTAGTCCTATAATACGGAAAATTCAAGCGGAGTAAATAGCTTAAAAACGGGATAAAAAAAAAGGCGTAAAAGCACCAGATATAATTAAGTAAGAGATTGAATACACATATATATTGATAAAAGAAACCAATTGAGAATGGTTTTATAAGAAGATTTTGATGTTGAACAGTTTATGGATAAATATGAGACTAATATGAATTATAACATGGGTGAAGCATGTGTTGAGTCGTTATGGATTAAGGAATTGGCAGATTTAGTAATTCCTAAGGATGCTATAGGTGCACATCAGTAATTATCTTCTACAATTGGGGACATGAAACTAACTATGGACATATTTGTGGGTCAGAAAAATTGAAGCATGCCATTTCTAAGATTTATAATGTTGTCTAGAGCGGTGAAAGATTGAGTCCAGTAGAACCGACAAACTTAGTTATAACCAATGGAGCTATTAGTGTTATTTTACATAATGAATTCTGGAGACCATGTAATTGTAGTTGATCCGAGTTATTAACAATCATCAAGTGTGATCAATGTATTTTCAAGTGGCCATGCAACCAATTTCCATTGAAGTTTGACGAACGTTATAGACTAGACATAGAAAGATTATCGAAATTAATTGTAGAGAGATAAGCAAAATTATTGGTCTTTAATAACCCTAATAATCCAACGGAGGTTGTCCGAGGAAACGAACTGTTAGAAATAATTATTAATATCTTATGTACTTTGAAGATGACTACAGATTTAGCAGCAAATCACTGATTGTTGATTATTCCTTTTAAAACGTTCAATAACAAGAAAATTCATCAGGTTTCGGGGATAGAAGAGCGTCTCTGAAAGGTGAGTTTACCGTCTTAGAGCAATGGCTAATAGAAAAGAATTTGTGGTATAATAACCTCTTATTTTTTTTATAGCTGGCTAATGAGAATATGAATTTACTTTAAACTTTTAATGTAAATAATAATTATTTATAAGAATAAACTGATATAACCTTTACGATTGTACATGCATCATAGTATTATTCATTCACTAATTTACGATATAGAATAAGTAGTCACAGTCCGGTGGTTGTAAAATATTCAGAATTCAGAATTTACTATACATCCAAAATCAATAGTTACTGGCTGTTGAATACAGGAGAAGCTGGCTTAGCATTATGATTTTTATTCTATTATTCATCATAGTTGGAATAGCTCAGTTCTTGAGTTGTATGAATTATTGTTTTCTTGCACATCAGTGATGTGGTGGTTCTGTATATAATTTCTAAAAATAGAGTGAATTTCGATGTTGCTTATTATAGGGACAAATCATTCTTCATCTAACAAAAAGAAGCATACGGCTTTAAAATTATCTATTGTGATTTGAAATTCTACGAAGACAAAACTTTAGTACATTGATTCTATTTTTAAAAAACATCGGTGAAGAATTACTTATTTAATCCAGATATTCTAATAAATCATTCAATTGAGAATTGGTGTCATTCAAATCAACATTTTCGAGCTACTTTTCATATATATTTAAAAAAATGCCACAAGACACAGACCCTATGTATTCTGGACGTGTTGTAAATAAAGTCTATAACCAAGATTTTATTATTGACAGAAGATTTAAAATAGTGAAAGAATTAGGTCATGGGGCTTATGGGATCGTTTGTTCCGCCAAGTATGATGATGGATCAAATAATGAAGATGGCAGCTATGTAGCTATCAAGAAGATCACTAATATTTTCAGCAAGAAGATATTGTGCAAGAGATCTTTAAGAGAATTGAAATTGCTACAATTCTTCAGAGGTCATAAGAATATTACATGTCTATATGATTTAGATATAATTCGTGATCCAATTACTGGAGAATTTAACGAGATATATCTTTACGAAGAATTAATGGAATGTGACATGCATCAAATTATTAGATCAGGACAACCTTTGACTGATTCTCATTACCAATCATTCATCTACCAAACTTTATGTGGATTAAAGTATATCCATAGTGCAGATGTCTTGCACCGTGATTTAAAACCCGGAAACTTACTAGTAAACGCTGATTGTGAATTGAAGATTTGTGATTTTGGGTTAGCAAGGGGATTTCTGGAATTCCCAGAACAGAATGTTGGGTTTATGACTGAATATGTTGCAACTAGATGGTATAGAGCACCTGAAATCATGTTGAGTTTTACAAATTATACCAAAGCAATCGATATCTGGTCAGTTGGGTGTATATTAGCAGAGTTGTTGGGAGGTAAACCAATCTTCAGAGGTAAGGATTATGTTGATCAATTGAATCAGATTTTGCTTATATTAGGAACTCCAAAAGAGTCTACTTTAACTAAAATTGGATCTGTTAGAGCTCAGAATTATGTAAGATCTTTACCATTTATGAGAAAAGTTCATTATTCTGAATTGTTTCCGACTGCAAATCCGTTGGCTTTGGATTTATTGGAGAAAATGCTCACTTTAGATCCATACGAAAGAATCACAGTTGAAGAAGCTTTAAACCATCCATATCTCTCCGTTTGGCATGATCCACAGGATGAGCCAGAGTGTCAAATAAAATTTGATTTTAAATCGTTTGAAACAGTCGATGATATGAAGTCAATGAAAAATCTTATAATTGATGAAGTCAAGAATTTTAGAGAGTTTGTCAGAAAACCCTTGCAAGAACAACAGCAAATTCAATTACAAATGCAAATACAGCAGCAACAGAAAGAGCAACAAGAAAATAATTCAATGGATTTATCAACTCCATTAGATCAGCAACAATTTAATGAAATGTTAAGTACCAATTCTAACTCCAACTCCAACTCAAACCCAGAGACAGGAGTTAATACAAACACTTCAAAAATAAATAATGAAAACGACTTGCAATATTATCAATCTATTCCAAAGCCTCAAGAGCTTGATGAATTTACATTTTCGCATAACAGTAAGGACTTGTCTCCAACAGATGGTAATGACAACCATACTGATTTATTTAGATTGGAAGAAGAATTAGGTTTTGGTTTAGATGGTGCTGGAATGTTCAATAACATTTAAAAATAGCCTTATTATGGACTTTTGCATGAGTTAGTATAGAGAACAATATATCAAACTAAAATTGTAAATTAACCCTACATAAATTTATTTAATCTTGTACCTAAATATGTCTCCATTTTTACCAAAACACCAGAAATTCAATTTATCCACATAAAAACCCTCTAATTTCCCATCTTTGATCCAATGAGACAAATCAATCACTAGCAAGGGTACTTCGATGGAAGGTACAAGCTTATCGCTTATAATTGGATGCAATATTGTTGAATACTTTTTCTTTGCTTTAGAAGTGGATTGATCCTGTAATACCAATTTAGTATAATGTCTTTTCAATCTCAAGTCATAAAGAGATTTATATAATGCAACAATTACTTGAATATTATCAGTCAAATTCTCTTGCGACACTTCTCGGCTGTTGTTACGGCCATTTAAAAGAGATGTCATATTTGTCATTGTGCCACTACCTGTATTATTCCATGGTGCATTTAAGTTATTAAATTGAAATGATGCCATAGACATTGATGGTGACATACTATCATCTGGTTGTGTTAAGGATATATTTCGTGCATGATAGTTTTGGCTCGTCTTCATAGACATTGATGCAGAAATCCTGTTGGAAGATATATTACTCTGATGTGTGGGAACTGGCTTAGATTTAAATTGCAGCTGAAAGGGTGGTGGTGAAGTCTGAATAGAATGTCTTCTCTTATGTTTACTTACTGAGTGATGTTGTCTCTTGACCTTTGGAAGTGCCTTGTAGTCAAATTCCCAAATTATTATTTGTCCATCGTATCCACAGCTTATTAATTTATAGACGGGACTACTAGACACGGATGGTTCTGAATTCTCTATATTCACTTCATTTCTAACGAATTTGATTTTATGAACCGTATTGGTGTGTCCTTTGAATCTGCTAACAATCTTTATGTCCTTCACCATAAGTGGATAAGTCAGTTCCATATTTATATTTGAATTGCTTAGATTATGAAACGATTCATCGAACTTCATATGCTCAAACGTGTTTGGGGGGATTGTAGATGTTGGTAATAAAAATTGATTGTTGACAGTAATATTCGCTCCACTACCCGAGTTTGCACTATTAATTGTTCCACTTCTAGATCTTCGTCCAGAAATACCTCCATAGGTTGAAGTTCCAGTCGGATTAGCATTATTTGAATGGTGATTATTAGAATATTTTGTTAAGAATCCATTGATATTGTAATAAGTCATTTTAAAAATTTCAATTAGATCTCCTTTACCAACAACACAGAAAAATTTAAAATCAGGCGAATATTGAATATCTGTGATCTGATTATGGAAGTAGTTGGAAACCATATCGCAAATTAAAGAGTTGTTCAACGGATTGCTTGTATCTCCATAGTTCATTTTATACGTCGAAACAAGGTCAATAAATCGTACTAAACCATCATCCGAAGCAAATGCTACTATCATGGGGTTAGACTGATTATGATTATTATTTGTATTACAGGGCAAGGTCGATGTTATCGAGGTGATAGATTTATGGCTAATCTTCATATGCCCAACAAGATAATTAGGGTATTCTTCTAACTCTTCTTTGGTGGTTGTGAATGGACTCAAATCGAATTTCTTAAAATACGTAACATGGTCGTCTTTCCCCACAATACGCTTCGAATACCGAAGTCTAGACTTATCATCATTTGATTTGGAATATGGATCTATGATAGCAACTTCGCCATTGGAATATCCCGCAAATATTAAAAACTCGTAAACGTTATTTGAGATTATAGATAAACTGGTTACCGAAGCCTGGCTTGGACTGTTCGAATATGAATATGAATTAATAGATGCAGAATCAGTCATTGTAGGGTTTGAGCTCAAGTCATCAAATACCTGATACGTCAATAGAGATAAATTTATCATGATAATTTCGCCACTTCCAAAACCAAGAATGACAATCGGATGATCAGCTAAACTCCTGAATGCCACCATACTTGTTATAATTAAATTCTGCCTAAATTGAATTCGCAACAAAGGATTTTCAATAACCTTAGGATATTGAGCTCCTTCTTGTAAAGACTCCTCATTATAAGGTAAACTAGGCTTATCGGAGAGAATATCATGCGTGTGTTTATAATTTGAATGATCATCTATACCTATGACATTTAGAACATTGATGTGGGACGAAATTAATAATTTGGATGTTGTCAGAGAGGTTAATTCATTCAAATATGATTCATTATCGTACTCCATTATTCTTTCTATTATATGTCCGCTGGTGTTCGATTTATTATCTGGCAAGAATGATAGCAAGTTATAGGTATTACCGTTATTGTCGTTCGCATTAGTATTCGAATTTGTAATCTTTAGTAACTTATTGAAGTTACTTGTAAACTTATTGAAGGGGTTCTTGTTCGAAAAATTATTATTATTATTATTTGCATTCTTCATATTAGCGAGATCAATAATGGTAGAAAGGCAACCAGGATTCAAATGAATCAATTTGAACGGATCATGTACTAATGGATTCACATTAGCTCCAATATGCATACCTCCATCCTTAGATTTAGCAGCCTCTTTAGTTTTTACAATCTTTTCAAAAAAGTTAGTTATATGATACGGCAACGAAACGTATGTAGTTGACTCATTGGAACCGGGTACACTGTTCAACGGAGGTCTCGAAATATGAAGATACGTAGGAGACAAAACCGCCTTATTAGTTGTTGTAGAATGGCTTCCTGTCAATGGCCAATCTAGCTCAAGCAGCCCATGTTGGGGTAATTTGTTAAGATCCTCCTCGAGGCTATAATGAACATTATAATCTAAATATGATATGCCAGGGCATACCGAATTTAAAAAACCATTAGCAGAAGGTAATTGCAGTAGTTGTACATTTGTCAGCGTCATTACTCGACCATCACCTTTCTATCCTTTATAATGTTATACTTCTTGGTTCAAAAGTATGGATCCTACACCGACAAATCCTATAAAATTTAGATGTATATAGGAAGCATTAAATTAGTTGGGGAATTCTGATATAAGCTTCGGACAAATTTACATAAGAAATAGACACATTGTATTTCCTGTATGTACGAGATTATCTACTCTAGATTCCGCTCCATCAGGCGGCGAGTAATAAAATCAGTTTCTTTCCTCTGCTTGAAGACTAGCCAACACTAAAGATGAATTACAAGACTTACGATGGTGAAAATTGCCATCGTATCTGATTGGTATTGAAAATTAGAACTAAGAATATTAATTATAGGATTTACAATAGAGAATCTACTCTGGGCATTTGAAAAGGTTATATCCGAAGTACACTCAATCATTTTTTTTTTTGTTGGAAACAGATTGTTATACTTCAAGTAAGGAAAAGACATATAGATGCAAGATTGTGTATTCTTGAAGAAAATTGCTGAAAACAGAATATTATACTTTTCAGCCGCTGGACGGTGAAATGGTCAAGTGCAAAATATTTTTCCCTATATTTGTTGATGAAGCATGAATCTTTAAACACTTTGAACTGCTCTGAACGATAGACCCTTCTCTTACAGCATTCGAAGAAACATCTTCCCCTGACAAAGTATATGAAGCTCATTAGTAGACTTCTATATGTGCTGCGTCACGTGACTCGCGGAGCGCATAATTTTTGCGCGACGAAGAATCCGACAACAAGAAAAAACGGCGAAGCTAGCTCAATAACCCCCTTATACATAGGATTTACTTAATATCTCCAACGGTTAAATACCTGATAATCAATCGATTTAACCAGTCCATTTAGTCTCAACATACTTGGACTTGTATATAACACATAGCACACACCCATAGTGCGGATATATTTGATTTCCTATTGCCATTGTTGTGTTGATTAGAATTTGTTGTGTTAGGGGAGAGATTGTCGAAAAAATTTCCGACGAGCCACGGAACATCCGCACACCCATAGTTAAGGAAGGTTTTATACCAAATTACAATACAAACAACCACATAACCCAATCAATTAATTAATATGGCAATACATCCTTCAAAAGGCACTGGTGGTTCGAAGCAGTCGAATTCGGGAGCAAGATTTCGACAACGAAAGATTTCTGTGAAACAACCGTTGACAATATATAAACAAAGCGATTTACCAACACTAAATGCATCTAATGAATTAGAACCATCACAGGTTCATCATTTAAATCTGAATGCCGGCCAGCAACAAAGAGACATACATGCGATAGAGACTGGTGTGGATAAAAATGAAGAAGATGAAGTTCATTTGCAACAAGTCATTAATGCAGCGCAGAAAGTACTTTTAGGATCCCAGAATGAGGATGGCGATCAGAAGAAAGATGATGGTGACAAAAAGGCAGATGCTCTGGTTTATATCCCAACACCTGATGCTTCTAGAATATGGACTGATGCACATAAATACTATAATGATAATTCATTTAGAGAGCCAGAAACATATATAAAATTTAGTGCTACTGTTGAAGACACCGTAGGCGTTGAATTTAATATGGATGAAATAGATGAAGAATTTTTGAAAGGCAAGCTTTGGAAAGAATACCCAAAAATTAAATCACCAAAAGTAAAAACGGAGAAACTGGACAATGCCAACAAAGAAAGCGATAACACTCGTAAGTGTTCAGAAGTTGAATTTGAAATTGTATGTGATAAGCTCGAAAAGATAATTGAAGAAAAGCAGCCCTTTCTATCCATGGATCCTTCGAATATTTTATCTTTCAAAGAATTATCAGCATATATTATAGAAGAATTTAATAATTCAAACAAAGATAAACCATACGTTCAATTGGGATCAAATTTGAAATATATTTCTACCACGACATTAAAAGAAAAGTTATCCAAAGAATTATCTTTCGAGCCATTTGTTACATTGTTCGATAAGTCACCATTAGATCAAACTTCAACTAATAATGTGAGACCAATTCCAAAATTGTTAGAATTATTTGGTGAACCAATATATGAGCATTGGAAAGGCAGAAAGATTGACCGTAAAGGTAAGCAAATACACCCGACCCTTAAATTTGAAGACCCAAGTGCCAATGAAAAAGATAATGATAATGATCCATATATTTGCTTCCGTCGTCGTGAATTCCGTCAAGCACGTAAAACTAGGAGAGCAGATACATTAGGTGCAGAAAGAATAAGACTTTTACAAAAATCAATGCACAGAGCAAGAGATTTGGTAATGTCGGTTTGTCGGAGAGAATTAATCAAATTAGAAACTTGGGAAACAGATCATGCAATCTTTAAATTGCGTAGTGACGCTAAGAATTTGAAAAGGGTCGTTGGTGTGAAAGGTGATGATTATCTTTTCTATCCACACAAGAGAAAGAAGGTTATTAAAGTTAAAGAAGAAGACGAAGACAAGGAATCATCGAGAATTAAACGTGATAAAAGATCTAGGTTTGACTCTTCTCGTGAAGGCTCTGTAGCATCGATACCAGGTTCGGCCACTATCGGTTCAAATGCTATCCATAAAGATAGATTGGCTAATGGGCAAGTTCACCATCAACAAGAAGCTACTTCTTCTTCTCAACCATATGTTAAATTGCCACCTTCTAAAATCCCAGATATGGGATTGGTTACGGTTTCGTTGGTGTTGAAGGAGAAAAATGAAACTATCAAGAGGGCCGTATTGGAAAAATTACGCAAAAGAAAAGAACAAGATAAAGGTTTTATTAATGTAACTGATGATCCATACCAGCCATTTTTTAATATTGCAACAAATAATAAATTCAAGAATAATGAACTCAAGCATATTCCATATTCTTCTATTGCTGCAACTAGATTTCATGAAATTAATACCACTAATTATATAAGTGAAAAATTGAAAAATTTATTGGAAGAAGGAAAGAAACCACTTCCTGGAACTAAAACTTTTAGAGGTTCAAATGGTGAATTGATTCCCTCGAAGCCATTTCCTCATTTACTGGCTTTGCTTCAAGATCGTATTGATAATAGTCAATTTAACTCGGTAAGTTACATTGCTCAATTATTATCAAACATAGAAAACAATAATTTCAGTGCTTATAACAACGGTTATGGTCAACAACAACGCCAGCATCAGGAAATGAATAGAGATAAAACTAAAATTTCAGATCCAATTTTCAGATTGAGAAAAAGAGTTGGTAGGTTTAATAGAAACTTTGTTGATAGAAGAGGTTTAATGAAGAGACCAAATGATGTAATTGATGACTTCTTAAAATTCGATGATGAAAATGATAATGAAGAATGCGACCAAATGGATATTGATTCTGAAATAGTCAAAAGGGATAATGTACCAAATGTCTACGACAGTAGAGTTGATTCAATTAAGAGATTAGATTCACGTTGGCAGTTTGATGATGACTTGACTGAATATAGTAAAGGGTTGCAAAGTCCGTTCAGTTTAGATCCGTCTAGATTAAATTGTATAAGTGATGACACTCAATCAATAAGATTTGGTTCAATGCTTTTGTCGAAATCTTATGATTTATTGAGAGAGTCTGTTCATCAACGGCAACAGGCTCTAGTACAGCAAGCAAGAATGAGAACGTTACAACAGCAACAGAGAAATAATAAACAGCAATCGGGACAAAACTCTGGATCGAGTAGTGCATCATTAGGATCGAATAATAATTCAAATCCAAGCATTTCAAGCCAAATTGATCAAGGTCAAATTAATGTACAAAATTCCAGACAGGGTGGAACTAACTCCAATGGTAGTCAAATCTCAACTTCAAGTCAGCCAAGGCCGAGTATGTCAGGAGGCTCTATGAATCCAAAATTACCGACTCAAAGTCTGCACCGATCTAACACAAATTCTCCATTGCTTGCTTCACAGACTCAAGGTTATTCCCAGCAACAAAATGCTAACAAATTCCCGCCGATATCTCAACCTCAGTCACAATCTCCAACCCATACTGCTAATCAATTACAGACTTCTAAAATGTACAATAAACATGGTAGTAATATTCCTCTGTCGAATTTAAAGGGCCCGAAGTTTACGAACAGTAACAAAATTGGATCTTTACCTAATCGCAAATGAGTGAACAACTCTTGATGAGTTACTACATATCGATTAGAAATAATTAGTCTGATTCTCTTATTATGTATTATAGTTAATTTATGATAAACATTCATGTATACTAGTGTCCGTTTACAATGTGTAAGAAATAGCCGTCATTTTAAAAAAGTGAATATATTAATATTAACTCTATATATTATAATGTACATAAACAAAACACTACAAAAATCTAAATGTTATATGATGACTTTGGCCTTCAAATGCAGAAGAAAACTTAAAATAAACCTTCTATTTCACCGTCGTCATTGACTTCGACGTTCATAAATCCAGCATGTGTTGGTAAACCAGGGATAGTCATGATTTCAGCTGCTAAGGCGTATAAATAACCTGCCCCAGCCGAACATCTAACTTCTCTAATAGGAACAGTGAAACCTGTTGGTACACCCTTCAATGAAGGGTCATGAGACAAAGAATATTGAGTCTTAGCAATGCAAATTGGCAATTTATCATATCCTTGTTGAGTATAGGTTTCAATTTGTTGTTTTGCCAATGGAGATAACTCAATAGAAGAAGCACCATACATTTTGGTAGCTATAGCTAATAATTTATCTTCCACAGAACTATTCACGTCATATAAGAATTTCTGCTTTGGATTTGCTAAAGTTACTGCTTCAGAAACTGCATCAGCTAATTCGACAGCACCAAGACCACCTTTAGACCAGTGGTTGGAAGGAACGGCATAGTCTGCACCTGCCTTGATTGCCTCTTGTTTAATGAGATCAACTTCAGATGCGGAATCTGTTTCAAATTGATTGATAGCAACGACTACTGGAACGTCGTATTGTTTGATATTTGAAATTTGCTTCGCCAAATTAGCACATCCCTTCTTTAAGTACTCTAAGTTTTCCGTAGTATACTCTTTTGGTAACAGTTGACCTGGTTTAACGTCAGGAGCACCACCATGTAACTTCAAAGCACGAGATGTGGCAACCAAAACGACAGTATCAGGCTTAAATCCAGATGCTCTGCATTTAATGTTGAAGAACCTTTCACCACCCATGGTGAAATCAAATCCGGCTTCAGTAACAACAAAACCTTTTTGCCCATTATTTATAGGATTAGATGGAGAAGTAAGTTTTAAACCCAATTGATCTGCAATAACAGAAGAAGCACCAATTGATATGTTAGCAAATGGACCTGCGTGAACAAAAACTGGGGTACCTTCCAAAGTTTGCATCAAGTTAGGTTTGATTGCATCTTTCAATAAAGCAGTAATTGCACCGGCACAACCAACATCCTCGCAAGTAATGGCAACTCCGGTCTCCTTTTGGGTTCCTACAACAATTCTTCCAACTCTTTCTCTCAAGTCACTTAATGACGTAGACAATGCCAAAATAGCCATCAATTCTGAAGCAACGGTGATATCCATACCAGTTTTACGTGGAGGAAACTTACCTATTTCGTTCTTACCTTGGCCAATAGTAATTTCACGGACAAATCTATCATTACAGTCCACAACTCTCTTGATTGTAATAGATTCTGGATCGATGTTTAAGATAGAGAATTCTTCAATTTCGGTCTCATTTAATTCGTCTGGATTAGTCTTTGTGATACCCAATTTTTCTAATCTCTTCAACATAGAGTTAGTAAAAGCTCTTTTTCCCTTCTTAGATGGAACCAATCTTTTGAAGAAACCACCCACAGATTTAGAAGTATGTTCATGAAACATTCTAGTATCAACGGCTGCACACAATAAATTTTGAGCTGCAGAAATTGCATGGATATCACCGGTTAAATGCATATTGAATTCATCCATTGGAATAACCTGAGCATAACCACCTCCTGCAGCACCTCCCTTAACACCAAAAGTTGGCCCCATACTTGGTTGACGGACATTTGCAATAGAATTATATCCTAAGTGAGCACCCAAAGCTTGGGTTAAACCAACCGTAGTTGTACTTTTACCCTCACCTAAAGGAGTTGGCGTAATACCTGCAACTAAAACATAATTACCTCTGTCAGATACTGAACCTTCAACTTGCTCGTCTAAACGTTTAATAACCATTTTTGGATCAACCTTAGCTTTATAATGTCCATATGGCTCCATTTCTCTTTCTAATAAACCTAATTCTTGGGCAACTTTAGTAATTTTCTTTGGCTTTTGAGCTCTCGAAATTTCAATATCTGAAGGAACAGGTTCCTTCATATCGAGAGGTAATGGACTAAATGCATGCTCATGAGCTTTTTCTGCTTGTAAAACAGCAGCATCATAAACATTAGAGCATAACATTGCCACAGTCATTGGTCCTACACCACCTGGAACAGGTGTAACAAAACCAGCCTTCTTTATTACAGATTCATAATCAACATCACCAACTAACTTTCTACCTTTTGCTGATTGAGGGTCACTTTTATAATTAATACCAACGTCAATAACGACAGCATTTTCCTTCACCCAGTCCGCCTTAACGTATTCAGGAATACCAACAGCAGCAACTATAATATCAGCATTTCTAACTACCGAAGGTAAGTCATAAGTGTGACGATGACAAATGGTAACTGTACAATCTTCATTTCTTAACATGGCAGCAACCGGCGTACCAACAATATCAGAACGACCAAGTACAACAGCATTCTTACCACGTAAACTGATACCTGTAGTTTTAATCAATTCCATTATACCATTTGGTGTGCAAGGCTTAAACATTGGTGTACCACCTTTTTTGGTTAATTCACCTACATTGTAACGAGCAAACCCATCAACATCTTTTTCGGTAGCAACAGCATTAGTAATAAGAGTTTCATTAATATGCTTTGGCAATGGCAACTGGATTAATAAACCATTCACCTTAGGATCTTTGTTCAATCTGTCGATTTCATCTAACAAGTCTTCTTCAGAAATATCTTCTTCAAATTTCAATAAGTTGGACAGGATATTAGATGATTTAGCGGCTTTTAATTTTGCCTTCACATAAGCTGAGGAGTCCGGTCTCCCTCCGACTTGAATAATAGTCAAATTTGGTCTGAACTTCAAGTTATCGAAGTTAATATTGCTAGCATCAAAATCTTTGAAGTTCTTAGTATTGTAAGTAACGACCTTCTCGGCGATTTTAGATCTAATAGATTTGGCTAATAAAGTTCCCGACACGACAGCAGCATCAAGACAAATGGTCGACTTATGGAAAGACCTAGCCAATCTAATCGTATTAGCTTTTGAAAAGCAGCGGCTTGTTGACCTAGATAACATAATGGATAATTAAGTTGGATGCAAACTCTATAGAATGACGTTTATACTAAAGAATGCTAAGGAAAAACTTAATTAAAACTAAGGTAACCCGATAAAATGAAAAATCGACAACAATTAGAATGAGAGACAAGGATTTATCAAATACTTAGGCCGATATTCTTAATTATTCATACCTATTTAGAAAATTTATTTCTGACTCTTCGAAAAAAAAATAATGAAGAGTTTATATGCAGTATACGAATTACGTCTAGTAAAAATATTTGAAAAAAAATTCATGAGTCACTGGGCTAAGTACCTTATTGGCTAATATCTTTGAATAGCTCTGATCATGTTAATTTGCCAATTTAAGTAACAAATAGAAGAGTTGGTACTTTATAAGAAGAAGCTGAACCATATACTCCAAATGTATACTGTGGATGTAGGTTTTTAAGGGCCTAAAAAAGTATTATTATTACGAATCGACAGAGTCACAAATAAAGACTCTGGTCCGATAAAGCAGACGCACAGTTATAATAATGCATCGTAAAAATATTGTATATTGTAATAAATAGTTTCTATTAAATGGTTTAATTAGTCATGGCATCATTATTTTTAACATCTTATAAGATATTATCATCGTTATGAACTGATTCGACAACATTGTTCTCGTTATTTTCAATTTTGTCATGCTGATTATGAGATCGTGTGACTTCTGTCTGTTCATTTCTTAGTTGGTTTAGCATTGCCTGTGCTCTGATCATCGTCTGATCTGCTTCATTTATAGTATTTGTATTCTGAGAGATGTTTTCTCTGTTAAGTGTCTCCGCCTTTCGTCTAGTTGACATTCTTCTTTTTAATGAATCGACACTTTCATAGTTGTTATAGGCCTTTTGTATTGCCAGATCATCAATATTGCCATTTGACGACTGTTCTAGCAAATCATCTAGTGTCATACTTGAGTAGAAAGAAAGGGCTTTACTTCTTCTATATTGACTTTTTCTTTCTCTTGATTTTCTTGATGATGGACTTGTCAATGCACTTGTCTTTAATTTTTCTAGCAAGTTATCTATGGTTACATTACTATGTGATCCATCTTTTTGCATTGAAGCACCATCTTCAGTAGCCAAACTTTTACGAAGTTCTTCATTATCCACTTGATTCTTGCTTTGTTCTTCATTTAAATCTTTAGCATTCTCTTCATTCTTATTCTCATTTGATTGCATTTGTCTTTTATCACGCTGGGCTTTTGAATCCTCTATCATCTTCTTTCTAGCAATATATGACCTCTGTTCTTCCTCTCTTTGAATATTTTCAATATGTGCCTTTTTGAACTCCACAACGAAGGAGGCGAATTTGTTAAAAAATGAATTTCTGCTATTAGAATCTTCCGGGTTTTCACCGAAATATTCCATTAATGTATTATGATCACCTATAGTTTTTTTTAAATGAGATTGTAATAAAGTGTTTTTCAGTTTTGCGCTTTCGAGAGGTTTCGAAATTACGCTTAAAACTTTATCGTCTTGATGCAATTTACTAGGATCACTTAAATTTCCTTTTGCAATGGAGCTTGCAACATTATTTATAGTTTTCTCAAAATCATGGCAGTCATTCTCTAATTGTTCAATTGAGATGTTGTTAACCTGATTCAATGAACTCAATTGATCAACGAAGGACCCATATTCCAGGAAGGAGTTTCTAATAATTTTCTCAACATAGTGTAAAAATGTCATAGAATTAGTGTCATCCTTCATAAACTTTAGTCTTTGTAACGTGCCTAATTTGAATCCCATAGCTTGTTTTGATGAATCATTCATAAAGTTACCAACAGATCTGATTATTCCCAAAACGTTTTTTAAATCATCTGATTCCTTAATACTGTTGTTGACCTCATCTATTAATTGCAATTTTTTTAACAAATCAGAATAATCTTTCTGATAAGTTTGTGTTAGCAACAAAGATCTTGAACGTGATTTCCAATAATGCCTCATGTTAAAACATAATTCTAAATATAATCTGTCTGGCCTCTCTAATTCTTCAACTGGCTTTTCTGGTTCTTTATTAGATTGTGTAAAATCAGTGGAATAAGGAGTAAAGTTTCTCAAAGTAGAATCACTTACTTCAATCAAACTATCATTGTTAAAAAACTCTAAAACGCTAATATTTTCCAAAATTTCCTTATCACAATTCAAAATTTTATTGATTAATTCTTCAACAGAATTATTGGCAAACATGTGTAAATTAATACCAAATTGCTGGACCAAATCTCGAGATAAATATGATACAGTCTTAGGTTTGTTCGCTGTATTCATTTGAGTGCTTCGTTTTTTAATTGTTGAAGTTTTGGCAACAAACACCTTCTCAACTTCACCTAATATACCTCTTTCAAGTAACCTGTCTGATAAAACATCATCCTTAATATCAGACCAGAAAGTTTTATTAATGTTTTCGATTTTGTCCCAGTGCATCTGCTTCAACTTAGCTTTTGGCCTCACAGAATTTCCTATGGCTAGAGAAATATCACTAGGATTTGCATCCTTATCCATTGCATCTGAAATGCTTTCAGAATTGTTCTTCTTTTCAGTTGCTATTTCATTTGCTTCTCTCTCAGTCAATGGTAAGGGTGATGATGGCGAGCTTAACTTTCCTGATGCTGGTGAATTTGATATAGAATTGACTTCTGATAGTATTCCAGGTAACGGAGGTGGAGGTGGTGCAGGTGGTGGGAAGGATGTAGGTGTTTTAGGCCTTTCTATACTAGTAGATTTGGAAACCGTTGATGTTTCAGAGTTCAAAAAAGATGGAATGGGAGGTGGTGGTGGTGGAGGTGGGGGCGGAGGAAAAGATGAGACAGCTGATTTCAGTTCAACGGCTTGTAAAAACAGTGGTAATGGTGGTGGAGGTGGTGATAATAAATTCATATTCATGAATGATGGAAGGGGAGGTGGTGGAGGTGGGGGTGGCGTTTGCTCAAGGGTGTTATTCTTATCTGTCTCTAAAGGTATTAATGAAGTTTCTGACTGTATCTTATCCTCTAATACAGAAAAATGAGGACTTGAAGTATTTGAAGACATCCATTTAGAAGGAGATAGAGGATGATGGGGTACATATAAGCAATTCGATCCTGGTTTCAAGTTAGCCGATCTAACTTTGGAACTCGAATCCAATGTCTTTGAGGTTTTATCCTCAGCAATAGGTAATAAATATGAATCTTCTTGTTCAGCGGAATTGCTAACTTTAGGTGATTCTTCAACTACTGGAATCCCATCAGTTTCATTCAAAGAGTTCGTCCCATGACCAACTGCATGAAGCTCCCCTATAGATTTGCTACTCTTTCCCGAGAATACTGATTCCAATTCATTAACAAACCCATCATTTTTCGATACGTCGTTATTCTTAATTCCGGCAGTAGATAGAGTAGGCAGTTGCGCATAATCAACCAGTTTTGATGCTTTGATTTTTTCTTTTTCAAAAGCTTTTATTTGAAATTGAAGTACTGATATTTGCTTCTCCAAAGAGACAATCTTGTTCATATAAAAAGATTTTTCTTTCTTTAAATTTGCAACTGTTTCATTCAATCCAAAACTTGCCTCTATTTCTAACTCTTTTTTCTGTTCTTCTAACAAGGTAATCTGTTTTTCTAGTTCTTGCGTTTCTAAAATCGTATATCTTGCTGTGTCATCAGTAATCATTCTGTCCATTAATCTCTGGATAGAGCTATTCAAAACGGAGTTTGCATTTGCACCAATCACTGATGATTCCGTAATAACATGATGTAAGACCGAATCTATAAGAATCAATAGTCGAGTAATTTCTATTTCAGACCTTCGACTATCTTTCAACATTAGAAATTTCATGAAAATAGATTTTATATAATCCTTGCTTGAATGGAAACCAGAATTTTCTGGAAATTTTAATGAAAGAAACAGTGATTTTAATTCACCGAACAACTTGTCTACGTCAATATCTCCTGCTTTATCAGACTTAGCTTGAGTTTCAAAATTAAAAAATTCGTTGTAATCTTCCTCGGCATAACCTTCATACTTTTCTATTTCTTCATTAATCCGATCATCATTAATAACCTTTAATTTATCGAAAATCTTCAAAACTCTGGAATCGTTAAGCTCCCGTCTCAATGATATACGCATCTTTATAGATTTAGTGCCTTCTATAATAGAATTAATCAATAATAAGGTAATCAAGGAATAGTTTTTTAAATTAAATTCATTCTCTAGCCTAGCATTATTTCCACCTGTGAAGTACTTGTCTAGAAATGATTCAACTGAATTTAACCAAGGCTGAAATCTTACAAAATCACCTAACAAATCTTGCAAACTTACCATACTGTCAAGGATGCCAGGTAAAAAATCAGCATTTTTATAATATGACAAGAAAATTAAAACTTCGGTTACTAGTATCCTAGTAGCTAGTCTTGGAGAAACCAACGAAAAAATCATTGCCCTAATGACATGGGACTTGTTTTTCATCACAAGAGATGAATTAATATTAGACTCTTCTTCGTCAATTTCTAGTTTATCCTCGTAATCCGAAATTTCGCTATTTAATATACTCTTTAAGCAATTTACTATAATAAATTCTTTATCGAGCTCGTCATTAGATTTAATACTTTTTTTATTAACCCTAGTAAGAATAACAGACAAAGCAGTCTCTCCTTGTGCATCACTAAATTTGTGACCCCAAGTATTTTCCAGTTTTGATATAGGTTCATTCAACTTCTTCTCAAGCTTTTTGTATTCTTTCAACGACAATTTATTTGAAATAATCCTTGATACATACCATTCAGGTGATCCCTCTTTCAACTTTTGTTTTTTACTTAATGGCACATGTCCCTGTCTTGAAATCGGTAACCTTGTTTGCTCATTTTCCAATATAGGTCCCGTTGAAATGTATTTTGAACTATCGAAATTTGTATCTAATGTCTTCTCGGAAGTATTTAATTTAAGAAGTGTCTGAATTAAAGAATGTTGTTTTGCATGTTCATCATTTAGCTTGTCACTCTCTACTGATATATTGCTATCTCTTTGATCTGTGGAAAATTTGGAAAGATCATCTTGGCTGATGGACCTAGAGTTAAATTTAGGAGGAGGTGCAAAAAAGGAAGAAGAAGATTTAGTTAGAGATTTCAAATTAAAATCGGTATTAGATTCATTTTCGCTTAATAGTAACTCCCATTTCCTTGAAATAGGTTGTCTTCTCAATGTTTTCAATGCCTTTTCAGAAAAAACTCTGGTAGACAATAACTTTTCAAAAAGTATGTTAACAACTTCTGGTTTAGGAACTTGATTCTTGCTCAAGGTAATAGCACTAAAGGATTGTAGTGAATGACTCAAATTATTATGATCATTAAACCTTTCACTATTAGCTCTAGCTAATTTGGTTTGCCTTGGAAGTTCTTTTAGATTATATGCAATTGTATTATTTAATGTTGTCGATTGATCTAACTTTGGCAGTGATAACATAGGTTCATGTATTGTCGCATCATATGAATTGTTAGGGATATCACTCAAATTAGGCACACTAGTATTTTTTTCTCTCATACTATGTGACATTGTACTTACGGATGATGGTTTTATTGGGGGTGATAACTTTATATCTTCTTTTGAGAGGCCATAAACTGCTAATGATGATCCTTTTATTGCTAGACTATCCTCGTGTAACGATTTCGGATCTAGCGATGAACGGCTCCCAACATGGTTTGACTCCATAATATATGGATAATTCGGAGCTACTTGAGAGGTCCCGTTCTCAAATGATCCAATTGATTTTTGACGAGGTGAAAATGCAACTAACGAGCTTGTTCTCGTCCTTTCGGGTAGATAGTTTACAGATATTGGTTCCTTGGAGCTTATAGGTACACTTTCATACCCTATCGCTTGAAATTCTTCTGTACCTGCAAGCTCTCGCGAGGTGTCAGTATTAATGGGTGGCAATGCTTTGGGAGATTCTATTTTTTCATTACTTAATAGTTGATTAAAGTTCAAAATAGATGTCGATTTGGTGACCTTTCTCATTCCCTTTGAAAAAACGCTGGGTCTTTTTGTTACTTTCGAACTATTCAGTGAATTCGTAGGATCCTCAACCTGTCGTCCATGATCTCGGATTGATTCTTGATCATTTTCCATAATAAAAAGTCAAAACTCACGCCTGTGGTTCACTATCTATCGATTACTCTATGATTTATATTTAGTTGACTAGCTTTTATCTCCCTAGTTATAAAATCAAGCAATGAATTTCCTCTGCTGTAATTATTTGATGTTCTGATTTGATATTTGATATTATCGATAACAGCAGCTGGTATTTAGATAAACAGAATATAGTTAGACTAACATAGAAGCGTTTTGAAATCTATTGAGCTCCAAATTTAGAGAGAGTGATGTTGGAGAAACTTCACTCATTACATGTCTAGGCCAAGCGCGTTCGCGCTGAAGTTATTTGTTTACCTTTTATTTTTTTCTATAAAATTTGATCGATTTTATAGAAATTGTTCTTCTACTGATTGGCATGAGCTTATCTAGACCATATAAATCAGTTAAAAAGAGTAAGCTGGGGAATGCTGATAAAAATCAGTCTCTGATTTCCAGTTTCTTTGGTAGAGCTACTTCGGATTCAACCAAATCAAACGTGAAGAGAACGCCGCTTGCTTTAACAACCCCAGAAAAAGTAGCATTGAATAGAAGTAACTCCTTTCTTTCTAAAGCTGTCGTTTCAAGTGGTACTTTTGATGAATTCGCTAGCTCGGATACCTCTTTTGGGTCTCCTGAGATTAATAATTTTAAAAATCCGGCATTGACAAAATCTTTTATGGGCCAGGAGTCCCGTGGTACACAAGTAGTAGATTTGACAGAAGACGATGAAACAGATGTGCAGATCGTATATCAACAGATGACTAGTCCTATTTCCCATACAAAGAACCAAAAAACTGAAACGCAGAAAGCAAATAATGCACCTCTAAAGAGAGGACACCAAGACTTGTTGGAAAAGCTAAATGGACAGCCTAGAAAAGTGCCCCGAAATTTTAAACTTACTAGCCCCCTGTTGACATCTTTACAACACTCTTCACTGATTGCTTTGAGCGATGAGCAGATGATGGTAATAAAGTATATAGTTCTGGATGGGCTCAATGTATTTTATACTGGTAGTGCTGGTACAGGTAAATCTGTTGTTCTACGTGAGTTAGTCCACTCTCTTCACCTGAAGTACGGTGCCAGTAGGGTTGGAGTCACTGCATCGACAGGATTAGCTGCATGCAACATCGGTGGTCAAACAATTCATCGATTTTTATCCATTGGATTGGGTACTGGGAGCGCCTTTGAATTGGCCAAAAGAATCAAGAAGAACCCTGCTAATTTGAAAAAGTGGAAAAATTTAAAAGTATTAATTATTGATGAAATATCTATGATTGATGGCAAATTATTCACAAAGTTAGATGAATTAGCTAAAATTATACGTTCAAGTCAACTTCCTTTTGGTGGAATTCAAGTTGTTTGTACAGGTGATTTCTTTCAATTGCCTCCTGTCAATAAAGATGGTTTGTCAGAATTTTGCTTTCAGAGCGCAGCATGGGATAAAGTTATCCAAAAGACTATACTATTAACTCAAGTCTTCAGGCAGAAAGGAGATACTGAGTTAATCGATATGTTGAACGCATTACGGTACGGAAGTATGGATGATAGCATGATTGCAAAATTTTATAAGCTATCAAGAAATGTTGTTTATGATGATGGTCTTGAACCAACCGAATTGTTTCCTACTAGAGATGAAGTCAAGAGGGCTAATCAAACAAGACTTAGTCAGATTCCAAGCAGATCGCTAAAATTTAAAGCCGAGGATAACATTTCAGATGTCAATCATATAAAAATGCTAGATAATTTAATGTGTGAAAAGGAATTAGAGCTAAAAGAAGGGGCACAAGTGATGTATCTAAAGAACCTTGATGATCAAATTGTCAATGGCTCAATTGGAACTGTGACATGCTTTATGTCTTCAAAACTTTGGGAAAAAGTAAATGATGTTTACAAAGGAAATTTATATGACATTGATGATCAAATAGCTGATGAGCTAAGGCTATTATCGTCTAGAGTTGGATGCGTTGCAAACTGGTCGCCTGAAGAAACCCAAAGATTTGATCGCATACCAAACGAACGAAAATCAAACTTTACGAAATTAGCCGCTGTAGCCTCGAGTGAATTAGTATCCGATTTATATCCAGTGGTGAATTTTAAGACCAACAAAGGGAACACCCTTATTCGTGTGACTAGAGAAGATTTCAGCATTGAAGCAGGAAGAATTAGAAATTACACTGGTGGCGAAGCTGATAAAATTACCAGGTCGCAATTGCCCTTATTATTATCATGGGCATTATCTATTCATAAGGCACAAGGTCAAACCATTGACAGGTTAAAAATTGATCTAAGAAAAATCTTTGAAAAGGGTCAAGTTTATGTTGCGCTTTCAAGAGCAACTAATAAAGATCATTTGCAGATATTAAATTTCGATCCGAGACGAATTAATGCCTCCCAAGATGTTAAAAAATTCTATCATAAATTAGAAACAACGCATAATATCTAGCCTTAAATAATGATTTAGAATTTTTTGTATAGTGTACTAGAGTTTAGAACTCTTTTTTTCTGGCATCCATTGCAGTCTGCATTTAAATATCGTAATTCTCACATTTTTAGGATAAAGCAAATTTTGAAAAATCGTTAAACTTCTCTCAATATTAGCGACAATACTATGTTTAGTGTAGAGAATCCACTTAATAATAGAGCAAGTGAAAGAAGTGGCGGTGACTTAGGCTACAATGGGTTCCCCGTATCTTTAAACTATTTCACTGCATTACCAGATCCAACGATTCTACACAATCCAAATGTTACTATTATTTTCAAGTCTTTGTCAAAGAAAGATTCAATCACGAAAGAGAAGTCACTTAATGAATTCATACAATTATTAGATGATAATGAGAATACATCAGTCGTAGTGGATGAATTATTGATATTGTCATGGATACAATTATATGCGAAGTTAGCAATTGATAATTCAAGAAGTGTTCGAATTTTATCTCATCAAGCTCAATCTAGGATATTAGGCATAGTCGGCGGAAAGGCATTTAGCAAATATTTATTGAGCTCAATACCTATCTGGTTGCAAGGTCTATATGATAATGATAAACTTGTTTCGAGTTCAACATATAAAACGCTTTTGCAAAGTTTTCAAGATAACAAAGAAAGAGTGGATTCCAAAATATGGATTACTTTTCATGAACCGATCATTAACTACATTGTAACGGTTGTTACTTTAGAGAATCATAAGAGCATGTCTGACCAAAGATACACTAAAGAAGCAGACTCATTCGCTAAATATGAGCGGGTTCTTAATGGGAGTGTAATGATGTTAAACAAAGTTATATCTTTAATAAATGATAATGAAATAAAAGTTAACAAGGGTGATAGAGAATTAGAGCAAATTGAAGAGTTACTTAATCTGGACATCTTATGGGATTATTTGGGTTCATCCATATCTGCGGATACTTTGAATTTACCTTTATTCAAGTCATTATTAATTCTCATCAGATATATATTTGGTAATGTTTCTACCGATGAAAATAATGAGCCAAATGTGATTATAAGCAATTTAAACAGTGCGAAGACACTCTATAAATTGGTTTCTAAAAAGTTTATTAAGCACATTAAGTTAAAGCCTAGTACAAAAGGACCAAATAATGACATAATTTATTCAAATGTCATATTGCAATTTTGGGATTCTATAGTATCTCTCACTAGTTTTTCTCTTTTGTCATCACTGCAAAGAAAATCTTTAAAGATTAAAAAAATTTCTGGGAATTGGGAGGGAATAAGAGTCGCTCTAGATTAATTGACTATCTTAAATTAGGTAGTTGTCTGCTGAATCCAATATACTATGTAGTGATAAGACAATTTTTCCAAACATTATCTAAGGTGAGTGAAACTGATGACAAAAATGAGGAATTTATTCAACTTAACAATCTTGAAGATGCTAAATTAATCATTAATGAGATCCTTTGTTCTCAATTGAAAACTCTAACAAATTTTGAGTATAAGGAGAAGTGCTTTTGTTGCATTTTGAAAGTATATGAAATTTTCAAGGAAAACATATCTGAGACTGATTCAAAGAGGCTTCTAGATATTTTGCAGATCATTTTATATCAGGTTTTGGATATTGCTCGATACAGTCGAACTCGGAATCCTCCAGTGAACAAACATCAGAGCCTTATCACTTCTTTTGGAGATTTCTTGAACAATAATAATTTTCCAAAAGAGTTTATTGATTTACTATTCAGTGATATTAATGAACAAGTTGTAATACTGGTAACCTCTGAAGATCATCCGGGTTTGCTGCTAGATAATTTTAAGTTCAAATCTCCTTCGGTGGACATAATAATTAACTATTTTGATATCCTTACCTATGTGGAAAAGATTAACGGCTCGACAAGTAGTTTGATAGATGTGGTAATTGAAAGTGTATGTAAAAGCGTTGAAGATGAAACAATAATGTCTCAGCCAGATATTGCTTTTCGCATTATTGTATTGTTTATTCAAAGTTGCTCTGGTAAACCTGACAGGATTGGTTCAAATGTAAGGAATTTGATGCCCAATGTTCCTTCTTTTATTGAACCAATATTTATCGAAACTCCAATTGAGGTTTTGTCTGCATTCCTTGATTCTGGTTGTCATATGAAAGACACATTTAGCATAAAGGAACTTATTGGTGATTTCTTTTTTAAAATATCTGCAACAGATGAATCTAAGATCCCACTATTATTGTCAGTCGTCGGCCAAGCCAAGGGCTTTGATCAGTTTGATGTGAGAGCAGACTTTGCTGATATTTATCGGTACTTGCTTGAATTATCAACAAAAGATAATATTTCGGAGACAGAAGCTGCAATTATCTTCAGTTATACCAATGATCAAGTAATTTTTGAAAACTTGATTAATACGTCTAAGACAAATGAAGAATGTGGACTGAAATTCATTGAATACTTCTTAAAGTATTCTAATACCGACGCTTTAAGTCAAGAGAATAATAATATTTCCTTTTATGGCGACCTTTTTCTTATTTGCTGGAGGAATATTGAAAAGCCCATCTATCAAGACTTTCTTTCACTTTTCGCAAAGAAATTTTCCTCTGTGTTATTCATTGAATCTGTTTACCAGTATACCTCGAATTCATCACTTAAGACTGATTTCTCTTCAGTTTCAAAATATTTGTTAAGCCTTGCCGAATATCCTAATAACGTACTTAAATTATTACCGCTTGAGAAATACTTCGTGGTAATTAAGCAAGCTGTCGAATATATAAACCTTGATTTGTTGACAATCGCAAACCCATTGGAACAAAATATATTTTTGGTCAAAGGAAATTCAAAGGAAAACTTTCATCTAGACCTGTTCTTGATTACAATTGGTAAATTTTTGTTAGAGTTTTCTGATTATTTAGATTCTTCTGAATCTAACGAAATAGTGATTGATATATTGATTACATTTGGTATAATTGCAGAATACATTCACGATTATTTCTTTCTACAGAATAATGATAACCGTCTTAGTGTTTTAGACGACCAAATACTGTTTGTTAGAACTAAATTGCTTACAGTTTTCAAAAATAATATTAAAGGAATTAACTTGTCTAGTTTGGTTTCTATTATGAATGAAGATCAATCTATTAATATTAATAACAATTTATGCCTTACTGTCTTTAGCCGTTTAAATAAGGAAATGACTAAAGAAAGTGGCCTCTCTAACTTGGAGATGTATCATGCTAGGTTGATGAAGATCTATTTGGATTCGCTCGTGGAATTGGAGACGTCTCAGTCGTTTGAGTCAGATGTGGTTATAAACTTTAATCGATTGTTGTCATCTCCATTAAAATTATCGGTTGTTCTTTTAAGTTTTTCAAAGTTTTACTTCACTTCCAATAAGTTTGACAGAATCAGAAATTATCTTTCTGCTGAGATTTTAGGAGTAAAATCAGACACTCAAATTCTAGAGGATGGATTAAAATGGTTGACTTTGGTTATCAACTTTTTCAATTCTGGTGTCGATGAACAAGAAAATCACGAAATCATCCCTTTCCATAGGTTGAATTTAATTTTTAATCAACTTTCAAAATGGTTAGAGTCGGATATTTCTTATAATGAGTCATTTATATCTGTTAGATGTCAAATAACGAGATTTTTGAACGATTTACTACATGGCAATAATGAGAATCTACCTGATAAATTTTGGGGTCTAGCAATTCACTTATGCTTAGATAACCTTGGTATCGCCCAAACTGAACCTAATCACTTGGAATTGCAGTACTTTACGTTGAAGTTATTTATTTCTTTAAATAAAGCTCAGAAATATCATAATGATGACTGGAATGAAAATAGAGATTCATTGTATGAAGAAATATTAGATTTGATAGCAAATGATAGCAACCACTTGCTGGATTTAGATTATAATAATCAACCTGTTTATTTGTGTCATGAACTTTTAAAAAGAATTTGTAATGATTACAAATTTTCAGCTAGACTACTTAATGATAAGTTGACAGATTTATATACTTTACTTTCTAATTCTAAATTTATTGGATTACAAAGAATCGGAGCATCTTTATTACATGAAATAATTTTAACAAACCAACAAGATTTTGTTGTTGAATATCAATTGCAAAAGAGTAATTTGGGTAGCTCTGACAACCTTGATCAAGATGATGGTCTATTCAAAGCTGAAATACCTGAAAAATTAATAGCTTCCATTCAACTGATAGATAATGCGTTTGCTGATTCTATTGAATTTGAGACTTCTCACGAGGTTTCAAAAGCCTTATGGAGTTGGTATTTAATATTTGATCATTTCAAGAATATCACATATTCCATTAGATCTGAATATGTTAATCAGCTTAAAGCAGGGGGTTATATCGACAAGCTCTTGAACTTGATCTTCGAACTGGTCGATGTTACTAATTCTAGTGGAATTTTGAAAAAGTTGCATACAAGCGAAGAATCCAACTATAAGATCAAACCAAATGATAATTTGATACAATCATATAACATAAACCATGGAATAGTAGGAGAACCGTTTAAATTTGAAATGAAGTTTTTGCTCTTACATTTGTACTATTTGTCATTCCAATATTTAGGATCTTACGTTCAGTCATGGTTTAATAGTATTCGTGATCGTCAATTAAAGCAAAAGATAGAAAAGTTTTCCATAAAATATGTTTCACCATTAATTGTGCACAAAATTCTCGAAGATGTATCGAAATCTAAGGATAAATTAACTAATAAAGATGAAAATATGTCCATTAAAGTTAGCAGTGCTGCAAATGAAATAAAGTCTGTATACTTGATTGACGAGCAAACAATGGAAATGGTGATTAAAATTCCAGACTCCTACCCATTATCTAATGTCTCAGTTGAAGGGCCATTGCGGATAGGTGTTAAGGAAAACCAATGGAAGGCTTGGCTATTAGCATCACAAAGAATTATTTCACTTACAAATGGCTCTATTATTGAATCTATTGAATTATTCAATAGAAATGTTAATCTACACTTTTCAGGTTTTGAAGATTGTGCAATTTGTTACTCTATTTTACATCAAGACCACTCTCTACCTTCCAAAACATGCCCTACGTGTCTGAATAAGTTTCATGCTGCATGTCTCTATAAGTGGTTCAAAAGCTCAGGTGCTAGTACCTGTCCCTTGTGCCGTTCGGCTTTCAACTTCAGAACGCCAAAATCGGTTGGTTTGAATGCATAAAATTTCACGCTATATAGAACTTCCTATACGAAATTTAATACAAAGATTATTTAGTTTCTACCTAACCTTGGTTGTTGGCGGCCTCGCTGGGTTGTAGGATTTAAGTCATCCTGTCTTTGAGTTGCTCCTAAATTCCAAGGAGCTCCAGTCATTGAAATATTATGTTTTGTTGTTTTAATTCCTGTACTACCATTCAAGAAACCTGTCAGACTATCATTGTTGGTTTCATCTTCATCTCTTTTATAAATTGGTAATTCTTTGTCAGTTTCAAAATCCCTCCAAGGGTATAAAGAACTACCAAACCAGAAATGTTGAACTACAGGAAATTTTCCCAACACCTCCACCTCGAACATTTTCAATAGTCCAGAAAGCACTTTTGACCAAAGTGAAACAGAGGAGTGTATGTCGTAAATAATTGGCGAATGTTCATTAAATGGTCCCATTTTTATTTTATGAATAAATGAAATTGCATTCACATATAAATTTGTTTCCTTGTATCTGTCAAGAACTGGGCTCGTTAGTACCTGCTGTACTGGAGGAATCATCTTGTTATGGCTCCCATTGAATTGTGCTGCACCTAGAATATAAATTAAATGAAAATGATCATCCAAACCCCATACTCCATGAGAACCTGCTGGTTCTAAACTATAGACAAGTATCAACCTGCGAGTTAAGTCGTAATATTTCGAGAAGATGGTTAAAATATCCGATCCTGTCAATTCCTCCAAATTTAATAATTTAAAATCAATCAATCCCCCTATGAATGCTAGAAACGATAATTCATGACCTGTGCCATAATCTAACCTAATTGCAGAGCCAAAAGAGTTCTCAATATAATACTTCAATTCTTTAATAAACCCATCAAATTCCAGATTGAATGAGGAATTATGTATCTTGATATTATCCTTTAGTAAATCCTTCATTCTAGAATTCATCGTTTGGTGCCAATCCCTGCAGGCTAAATTTCCAAATCTCCTTGGCCCTTCAAACGGAGGGGTTTCATCAATATACACGTTCAAGGTTTCGAAAATTCTTAAAAGTCCTTCAAAATTTGATTCATTAGATTCTCCTATGGATGTTTGGTTTGTAGAATGCCTGATATTACATCTATCGGCCGCCCCTTCCACTTGAGGCGGTGGTAATTCAAGAGACCTGTTATTATTACTATTTGGTGGAGGTATATTTTTTGTTTTTCGTGTTACTATTGACTTATCCAAAACTCCTGGCGGAATATCACAACCCTTAACCTTTTCTATCAAAACAGATAACGTATGACGTATTTTATAGTATGCGGTGGAACGCTTAAAGTTAGGTATATCAGAAGCATCATATATCCTTTTTGATGGACTCAGCCAGTGTATATTATGAGAATTCGACATTATGGTATAAACTAATCAACGGCAAAGTTATGTTGCTTGAAATCGTGATATTTAAACAGCAGCAAAAAGTGTATAATATGCAGGATGTTGATAGTAAAATAACCAGGCAATTTATGAATGCTTTCATTAATATCTTTACACCAAATGTTGTATTCTTAGATTATACATTTTTCGATGGTAGGTATTCACTGATTAATTGTGTATTGTTACGAAGAAAATATGGTATATAGAAAATGAATGCTTATTATCAGATGTTAAGTTCACGAATATCGCAAGCATGTTAAAAGGTTATATCAACTTTTACTCTGAAATGCACTAAGGTTTATTTCCATAAGTGAACTTGTATCTATTTCACTATCACTATCACTTATTTGTATTGCATCCAAGTTCGTGGAACCAGATTTGATCTTAGTTTCTGATAACTCTCCACTTTGTACATTGTTTGTTATATCAATCCTGGTTTTTGGAGAGGAGTTCTTTTCGACTGGAACAAAAAATGCACCATCATCCTCATCAATTCTGGAGTTGTGCTTTATTGGAGAAGAATTGGGTGATAGGAGCAAATTCGTTTTGACGTGGCGTTTTTTTGAAGGACTACTTTGAGGACTTGAAAACCCTTCGGAAAATGAAGGTATCCGTCGCTTCGGAGAACCCGTCACTTCTTTGTTTATCAAAGGTGCTTCATAGCGCAAATTTGGATTAAGCCATATATCCAGTTTCAACTTACCATACAGAATATTAATTGTATTGTTTTGGAGGACTTTATTTTCGCCCTTATTCAGATCTTTAACGAATAAGAGATCTTGATTATGATTCGGTTCATATTTTTCAATAAAAGGATTATCTTCCTTAATATTTTTGTAATTGGGAAAAAACGACGTAACGATTGACTGCCCTGGAATGATAGTATTCTTTCTAGATTTAGCTTTTGATGCGTCCCTTATTTTCAAAGGAGAACTTCGATCCCTCAAGTTGTTATTTTCCACGCTAAATTCATTCCTCTGCTTTTTACTGAGCAATCCCAAGGTATCAAGTGTTGTTCTTTGAATGCATTTAGATTTTCTTGGCGATTGTTTGCGTCTCTCCTTTTCATGAGCTATTACCGACGCTTCGAACTCCTGAACCATGTTTAGATTAATCAACTCAACTAAGTTTTTTGGGAGCCATAAACTTTCTAATTTCTCTTTAGTGGGCAGCAAATTTTCATATCCTTTCTCTGGAGAGCCTGTTGTAAAATTTTTTGTACTATTTAAAGTATTTTTTATCTTCTCAGGTTCAAATTTAACCATTAGAAATTCAACATTATTAATAAATTTATTGTTAGTAATTGTAATGATTTCACAAAGAGAAGAAATATCATTAAACCATGATATGAGTTTAATAATAATGCTTTTAATTTGATAATCATATCTATCAGGAATCATGAATTTTGACATGCGTTTACAAATTGCCTGTGAATTATTAGCCACACAATTTTTTATTTTTGCTTTTCCTAATTCATCAATATGCATTGATACTTCCAGGAACCCAATATATTTATCAACGAGTATATTGTTAAACCTTGGAATTTGTTCAATCCAAGTTTTTGAATAACCGCTGCAAGTAAAACAACTTTCTGGAACCTTCAAGTCGTTGTCTATTACATTTAACTCGCCACAGCTTAAAGTATACGGCAAAAATTTGAATACTGCTGGGCTAACTATTGGGAATAGATAAAGTAATGTGAAATACTCATCTATGAAGAGAGACGATGAAAAGTTAATATCCATATCAAATATATCTCTTGACCTTGATTCGATGCATTGATTTAAATAACTTGTAAACCTCTCCAATTCAATTTTTCTAGTACTTGCACATTTGATCAGAGCAAACGAATCGAATGTATTAAGACATGCCCTATCAATAAAGCAATCAATTAACAATTTGGAGAAATCCCTTAATGGATCAGAATACTTTATTTCCGATTTCTTTTTAGTTTTTCTTGGAGATAAGTGGAAAAACGTAGCAAATTTCGTTCCGCATAAGGCTATCTTGCTTGCCCTTGTGATGCCAATATTGTTCACTCCACTAGAGTAATCACCTCCACGTAAAGTGGCTATTAAAATTAGCCTTTGGTAGTCCAACCCGGTTTCTTTTGTAACCCTTGTCATATCCACAGGCGTGACATAAAAATCTTTTGTCGGTATCGAACTACTTGAGACCGCTATATCCTGCTCAGATCTACTAAAGTTCCTCAAGACTTTAGTTGCACCAAAGACAAAAACATCAGTATCCTTAGTTAAAACAAAATCAACAACATCGTATTTTTGTAGCATAGCACATTCTGCCTCTGCTTCACCCGGAGATTGAATAAAATCAATTTTATTCTCTCTGAAAATCTCAAACAATCTATTTATTAGTTGAGTACAGGGCGAATCTTCCATGTAGTTTTCATTCTTAAATGCAATGTTCTGAAACTCCCTCAATTGATCATCGTAAGATATAGAATGTCCGTCCTCGCCATGTCTTAATTTTTGCGGTTTATATCTCCCATCAAAAACCACCACATATGAAACATTAAGCAGGGTCAAATACATCAATTTTGACATTATATTTCTAATTTGAATGTCATTTTCACGTTCAACACCTTGTAAATTACTATGGCTTGATTGGAATATAAACATATATGCATCAATAGCTATCCTTGGGGTTCTTCCATATTGATTTATGAATTCATATACAAATATAGGAAACGGTATTCTGGTATCAAATCCAGGAGAAAGAATTGACCATAAATCAGTGATACCCATATATCATACCTGGTACTCTAGAACTATTTTTAAATAAAATGTTAAAAAATGCTCTGTAATACATCGTAAAATTCGGAATCAGAGGAATTGGTTGTATGACTTCATAATTATCGATGTGCGAGAATTAGAAATATCAGGAATTAAATAAATTGAACTCTTCTTCTGACCAAGAACTACGACATAAAAAGATTCTCATATAATGAGCGAATCTTCCTCACAGAAATTCCATGCTGGTCAGCTTCTATGTGGAGGGTTCCAAGGAACGAATGTCACTGCTCAAGCATATCATTTGATTGTTCAACATCATGTATCTGCGATGATACTTTCCAAGAAGAATGCCGTGTCTGTAAAACAAATGACAAAATTAATAAGAGACTTACAATACATTGCATATACTCAGGGTAATTATAAATATCCCCTTTTATTTGCAATTGATGAAGAAGGTGGCATGATGAATTCTTTGTTTGATCCTGACTTTTTAAATCAATTCCCCGGTGCCATGGCTCAGGCAGCAACAGGTGACACTGACTTGGTTTACAAAATTCTGAAAGCTATAGCTATGGAATTAAAGCATATTGGATTTCTGATTATTTTGGGTCCTGTGTTAGATGTAGTTACGAAATTATCACATCAATTAGTTGGGGTGAGAAGCTTCGGTACCACTGTCGAGGATGTTACTAAATATGGTAAGGCTTGTGCTAGGGGTTTGAAAGATGGGGGTTTAATGACTGTTGGAAAGCATTTTCCTGGGATTGGAAATGCTAGTGTTGATTCTTTGTTAGAATTACCTATGATGGCAGATTCGTTAGATCAAATTAAACATTTTAATAGTGTTCCGTTTGCTGAACTAATTAAAGAAGGATTGTTAGATGGTATCAGTGCTGCAGGCTGTGGGGTTCCTACTATAAGTCCCGATGAGACACATGCTTGTTTGTCGCCAATAGTAATAAACCAATTATTACGGCAAGACTTGGGATTTGATGGTATGGTAATAAGTGAATGCTTGGAAATGGATGCTTTATACCATTCAATTGGACTAGGGCAAGGTGTTATATTGGCTCTCTATGCTGGATGTGATTTAGTGATGGTCTGTCATGATAAAGCTTTTCAAGACGAAGCTGTCGAATCTATAGATAAGGCGTTAGCTAATGGTAACCTTGACGATGAGATTATATCGGCTTGCTTGAGAAGGATTGAAAATCTCCAAAAAAATTTACCTACTTGGAATGAGTTGTTTCCAAAAGGAGAAGAATCGGCTAAAGAAGATAATTTGCCATTGTTTAAGGACAGGTATCAAGAAACTTGGAAACAACATCAAACTTTATCTCAATTGTCATATCGAAAATCAATCACATTAGTAAGAGACTATACAGGTACATTACCGATTACAAAAATCTTTGAAAATACTCAGCTGTCTTCAAGCGCAGATGATACTACAAATAATATTTTACTCTTAACGCCCTTATTGAACCCCATTTATCCAACAAACCATGGTGGAAATGGTGAACCACAGTTGTACACAGGGGAAGAAGTATTTCAAAAATTCGGTGACACATTATCTAATCATTCCAAAAATTTAAATTCTAAAAATCCTTTTAACGTGCTTCACACAACATATACCGCTAATGGTCTTACTGCATTGCATGAATCCTTGATTGAAAATTCAAAAGCTGTCATCGTACTAACATCAGAAGCTTCTCGAAATATGTATCAAATTGGAATTGTCAAATATATTTCTATATTGTGTGGTGCCAACCCTTCGTCTTTCAACAATGCAGCCACTTCTCATTCACAGTTAGCAAAACCATTGATAATTGTTGCAACTCTGTCACCGTATGATTTTTTTTATAATAAAAGTATCGGAAGCGCATATTTATGTTGTTATGATTATACAAATAATGTTTTGAGAGAATTGGTTAGTGTTTTGATGGGTGATATCCAAGCGGAAGGTTGTATTCCTGGAGAAAAGAAGTTTGTTGGAAAACTGAGAAAAAGAAAGTCGATTGATTCGCAAAATGCTATCGAAAAGCATAATCAACTCAAAGAAAGAAGAATCTCTCAACCTAAACGTAGATGGCTAGTTGATGAATTTGATTTGAAGCGAGACTGGGCCGGTTTAGTTAATATATGGAAGAGTAACACTGACACAAGTTCAAATGTTGACTATTTAAACGTCAATGTATCGAATAATCAATCGGGAGAGATAGCTTACCAAGATGAGTTTTTTTACAAAAAGATTTACCAGTTGTTATCCACTACTGCTAATACTCAAAAGCATTTTGTAATTAGAAATTCATCATTAAATATTCTATACGGTTTTGTTTTGACTTGGGTTGATGATAGTCAAGGCGTTCCTTTAGATGGTGACCTAACAAACATGGATAATATTCAAAAAAAGACTGGTTCAATAATGTATTTATTAGTTGATAAATCAAAAAGATTGCAGAGCATTGGAAAGAATTTACATGCTAGGGCCATAAGATATCTTACAAAAGAACAAAAATGTACTAGAATTACATTAGGATGCTCATTTCCGTTATTGGTCTTCCCAAAAAACTCGAATTTATTAACGAATAATAAAGTGGTCTCTTTTATGAATAATGTTGGTTGGAATATATCTAACAACAACTCTAAGAAGAAGCACATCATGGTATTGTATGACTTAAACAACTGGCTGGTTCCCAAAAAGATTTTTAGAGAGCTAACAATAGTCGGTGTCAGATTCGATGTTTGCACCGATGCACAAAAATTGATGAATTTAATACATAACAGTAGCTTGCAAGATAATCAACTGATAGTAAATGATATAAGACTCGAAATGCGCATGAAAGATGAAAGGGACAACACAAAGGAATTATATATCGAAGCAATTAAATACTTGACCAACAGCCATTCTTACGGCGTGAAGATAATTATTGCATTGGAACCAACTAACCAAAATGTCATTGGAAGCATAATATTGTTTACTAATAAATCACAGATGTCTAAATTTTATCCTTTTTTGGAAGAATGTTTAAAAGACTCGAAAACAACGTACAATCAAAACCTACAAGACCCATTAATTGGCGCTATAATGGCTCCTGTGATAGATCCTTCTTATTCAAATTTGACTGAGATTATTAATTTTGGGCTTATATGTAGTGCTATTACCTTTGCTAAATCAGGATTTAATGATAATGATCAAAACCAAATGCACAAATGTGTTATGGTAGGTATAAATGGCGATAATCCTGGAAATATCAGTGGAATTAAAGAAATTGGTTTTGAGGAATGGAAATATTTTTATGATTTTTATGACTCTAAAGGCGAAGCTGGAAAATCATTCTTAGGCGAATAGTATAGTTGCAATTTTGTATTCCTATTAATAATACACTATTTCCTATGAATCTGTCGATTTACAAATAAGATTATCACGGTCTACCTTAAACATCCAAAACTGATGACGCTTTAGAGGAAAGCATATATTTATTTAGTTTACGCTTACCTTTAACTACTGCCAGCTATAGACCGTGAAATTTTATATTCAAATGGATTATATTTCAACAAAATTTTAGTTTATATGTTCCAAACAGCATAATACATAAATTGATATTTTATCCAGCTGGATGAACTTCTGAAAGAGCAATTTGCAGCTCTCTCTATATTATGCAGGATATAAGTATTGTATAACGATTGGGGGAGGATTCGTAAAAATATCACACGTATTGTTTTTATTAGACTTTGTATAAACCCTGAATTACTTTTTGTTGCAACTATTCTTCTAGGCTCTAATGTTAAAAAATGGCTTTAAAATTGATTTCTTCTTTTTATAAAAAAATATGTAAGATTTTGAAGATAATAGCAAAAAGCTGAAAATGTTGTGCACAATTACAACATTTTAACAATTAATTTCTGTATGGGCTAATATTTGATTTATAATTCTTGAATCATAGATTAATTATAATATTTATTCTTTAAAGATGGATTTATCTTAGGATTTCAAAGAAAATTATGAAGTTTAACTATAACAATCCATAGAGTGGGATATTGGGTACCTTATGCCAACTCTCAAGTTGTATTATCAAAAACGATAATAATATTAAAAAAAATGTGTCCTATACTTAACAATCAATATTATTGTATCAAGTTGAATATATGTCACAAATAGGCAATATCATTATCATTAAGTTGAGTTCTATATTATAAAACTACATTTGAGCTATTCAAGAAAAAAAAATACTTGACTTTATCACGAAATTATATTCTAAATCAAATGAGTCCATTAAAGGTAACATAAATGTTGGCATGCAAAGAAAATAGTACATTATAATACCCATAACTTATAGAGAGCAAACGGAATCTGTTAAGCCAACTGTCCAATTGAAAACACCCAAGATTAAAACAACAACAACATAACTACTAATAACTGAGTAAGAGCCGTATCTATATGAATGCGAAGTTTTCAACCCAAATAATTCAACCACGAAGGTACTAACGGTAGTTAAAGCACCACAAAACCCATCATCTAGACCTGATAAAACATGACAGCCCAAGATATTAGTGACAATTTGGCTCTGAAGATTGTTGGGTGATTTACCTCTACTGAGTAACGTAAAAATAGATAAAAACAAAGTTCCAGAAAGATTAGCTGAGAAAGTACCTATCGGAAAATTCTTGACTTTAGAATTTAAATATCTCGATAGGTAATACCTTATCAATGCTCCAAATGGTGCGAAAAAACATCCAAATGTCCATGACCTCCAAGAACCATTATTCTTAACGCCAATCAAGATAACAACAATAACAAAGAGAGCCAAGCCAATCACTGAAGTCAATATTTCTAATCTTTTATATGTCTTCTTTTTTAACAGTGGTATATAATTATCAAATATTTCAATGAGATGTCTACCCATATGAAATCCCATGATTGATAAACCAAAATGAGCTAGCACAGTTGCCAAAAATTCCATTATTCCATATGCCGCATTAGGGTAATGATAATATTTACCAGGCATAGTATCAGCGGACTTATAGAATATCTCTAACATCACCGAAGAGAATGATGAGAATGTACCACAGAATCCCGTTGTTATACCAGTATATAATGGAATCTCACCTTTGTGTGAATAGTCACTCGATTCAAGTAATATTTCCCATAAGTGGTTGCTATCAACAGCGATTCCCATAATTAAACAGGCGGCGAAATTAGCCCATATAACTCCAGATATAAAAGAATCATTATAAGTCGTCAAAGCTTCCAATCCTTTCCTGGCTAACAAGCCCCAAATAGCGCCATGTGCGATACATAGAAATATTGGTATTCTATCTTTAACTTTATTATAAGTCAAGTTGAAGCTTTTCTTCTTTGGATAGTCTTTTTCATCTACATTAAATCCTTCAGGCAAAGACTCGGCTAGGGACTCAGCTTCTAAACCTTGTAATTCACTTTCAAGGCTTCTTCTGCTCTCTGCAACTGATTCATTCGTGAATTCGTTGTTTTCAATCTCTTCCATCATCAAGGTGTGTACAATAAAACTTTTCGTTTCTTCAAAAAAAAAAAAGTATGTTGTTAATATAAGCGCTCAATTACCAAACACGACCCTGCACGTTACAGTACACTATAATAGAATTGAAATAATGTCATATTATTTTGGCAAATTCGCATTTTATTAGACGTAATGACCTACATTGCAATTGAATAAGCAAATACATTTGTTGTCAAGATATCTGACAAATTATAAAACACATAATATCTGCATAAGGCCCTTTGCTATCTACTGGCACCACAAGTGGTTTGATTTCATATCCTTCTAAAGAAATAATACTAATAGTTTGTTCTAAGACTAACATTCTAATACGCCTCTCTAATATAATGCTCATTGCAAGCTCCTATGTAGAATTAGGCAGGAAGTTTTACATAGAACCGTTAAGTGTGCATATACAAGGCAGCATTGTTTCCTGAACTACATTTGACAACAAAAAATCATTGCTAATATACTCTTAAAGTTCATTCGGTGGTATCCCATTTGTTTTCCTGGGGAGTCATTCTCATCAACATTGAATCCTTCAGGTAAGGCATCCTCTATAGACATAGATTCAGCCCGATGTAATTCCTGCTCGAGACTTAGTCTCCGATCTCGCTGAGACCCATAGGTAGGTATATATTCTAGGGTTGACATTCCGTTCATGTGTTATATTTTGTTGTTTAAAGTTACTGTGTTGGCAAATCCAGAAGATCAAATTATTTATATAGTTAGTCATCTATATGCTTGGTTAGGTCTATTTGAGATTTTCGTGACACATTGACGCACTACTTATTTTGACGTATGCAGGTATTGTTGCTCTCTCAGGGATTATAAGTAGTTCGCATATCCTCCGTTAAAAATTGATTAATGTCTTCTGGCAACAATTATGTCAATTACAAAAGTTTACGCTCGTACAGTTTACGATTCTCGTGGAAATCCAACTGTTGAGGTTGATATTTCCACTGAAAAAGGCTCCTTCAGGGCAATTGTTCCATCAGGAGCATCTACAGGGTCATTAGAGGCATTGGAATTGAGAGATGCTGATAAATCCAAATGGCAAGGAAAAGGGGTTACAAAAGCTGTAAATAATGTTAACAATATTATTGGGCCTGCTTTGATTAAAGCTGATTTAGATGTCACAGACCAGAAGGCGGTTGATAAATTAATGATCGACTTGGACGGTACTAAAAATAAAGAAAATTTAGGTGCTAATGCTATTTTGGGCGTTTCTCTAGCAGTTGCTAAAGCAGGAGCAGCAGCTAAAAACATTCCATTATATAGCCATATTTCTGACCTTGCGAAAACAAACAAAAAGCCATTTGTTATCCCCACTCCGTTCTTTAATGTTCTAAACGGGGGAGTTCACTCCGGTGGAGCATTGGCTTTTCAGGAGTTTATGATTACCCCACTTGGTGCGCCTTCTTTCTTTGAAGCTGTGAGATATGCTAGTGAGATTTATCACATATTGAAATCATTGGCTAAAGAAAAGTATGGATTGTCTGCTGGTAATGTAGGTGATGAAGGTGGTGTAGCTCCCAACGTGAATACTCCAAGAGAAGCGTTGGATTTAATTGTTACTGCAATAAATAAGGCTGGGTATAAAGACAAAGTCTTTATTGCTTTAGATCCCGCGTCTTCCGAATTTTTTAAAGACGGCAAATATGACTTAGATTTTAAGAATCCTAAATCAGACCCATCTAAGTACTTGAGTGGTAAGCAACTATGTGAATTATACTTAGAGCTTATAAATGAATATCCTATTGTTTCTTTAGAGGATCCATTCTCTGAACTTGATTGGGATTCATGGTCAGAGTACTTTCCCGAGCTATCTAAAAAAGTGCAAATTATTGCTGATGATATAACTGTAACTAATCCTGAGATTATTAAAAAAGGAATCGAAAAGAAGATTGCAAACAGCTTATTATTAAAGGTTAATCAAATTGGAAGTCTTAGTGAATCGATTGAAGCTGCAAATGAGGCCTACGGAGCTGGCTGGAGTGTTCAAGTTTCTCATAGGTCTGGAGAGACCGAAGACACCACGATTGCTGATATTACTGTCGGACTAAGAACTGCCCAGTTAAAAAGTGGTGCTTGTGCGAGGTCTGAGAGATTGGCAAAGTATAACCAACTTATTAGGATTGAAGACGAATTAGGCACTAAAGCTATATTTGCAGGAAAAAATTTCCAGAAGTCATCATCATTATAATTCCTTTTACAACAATATGACTTTCTATGATTATAATATATATATATATGACTTTGTATATCGTTGAGTAAAATAGCTAATAAAGCGAAATTCTATTAAAGCATATTCACCAGAATTTAACCCAGAAGTTCTTATATTATTTAGAGTTCATTGCAGATTTACTTGTCTTGTTTCTGGAAGGTAAGACATATTTTGTCAAAATTATTTGCGAGCTTATTACAGTTGATAATTATTTTTGCGAGACAAAGGTGCAGACAGTTCCTGTATATTACAGTCGTCATCTTTCTACGCAAAACACGCAACTCACTAATTAATTAAACATCTGAAATCTAAAGATAACTTTATGTCTTAACGAGTGCAAAATTATTATTCTATACCTAATTCCGAAATAATTTAGTAGAGAAAGTACTTTCATAAATGATTATTACGTTAAAATCTTAGTTTGCATGTTTGACCTATAATAGCTAACATGATACAGACAAGCAATCAGGAAAACATGGATAGAAGTATTAATAAAAAGGAAAATGGAATTTTCAACAATCTTGGAAGGAGAACAAAATACCAAAGAAAGATATTGCCATTGATATTTGACGGGTACGAATCTCAGAATAAAAATATTGAAGTAGTTGAGAACGAAGCTCTATACTTGAAGCAATCTCTTATTGTACCAATAAACAGGATAACAAACTTATCATTGAATCCAGGAGATCCATATTTTTTGATTTGGTATTTCATATCTTCGTATTTTCCTCTTATATGTGCTTGCTTAGGACCATTAGCAAACATGGTTTCTGTAATAGCTCTCATAGTACATTGGAGAATTGAAATAGAGAATAACCAATTCGTATCTGACCAAAAATATTTGCTAGTATTGAATTCATTAAGTTTAGCATTGGGGATTATTGGTAACTTATCTTTGTTGATGAATTTTTCTAAAACTGTGAAGTACTTAATAGCACAATTTATTTCCATAACTTGTTGGCTTGTTGCTGGTACTTTATTATTAGTAGTGGTGATTCAAACGGATAAATCTTTCAAAGGACATTCTCCACACTTTCGCCCATCCGAGGGCTTTTGGTTTGGTGTATTTACAACATTTTTTTATTACTGTTGTTCAATCATTCTAATAATTAATTTTATAGGTTATAAGTTAAAGAAATATCCACCAAGTTTCAATTTGGATTATAAACAAAGAACCTTGATGTTGTATACCATTTGCTTTTCGATTTGGTTGACAATAGGAGCAGTTGTTATAGGTCACTTAATACCACACTTGAATTACGGGTCATCACTATATTTCTGCATAGTTTCAGCATTAACTATTGGATTAGGAGATATATTGCCTCATTCCCCAGGAGCTAAAATTTTTGTATTAGTATTTTCATTCATTGGAGTAATTATTATGGTGTTAATTATTACTATGATCAGACAAGTAATTTTATCATCAGATGGGCCTACAGTCTTTTGGCATTTGGTTGAGAAACAGAGGGTTAAAGAAATACTTTATTTGAATAATAATTCTATTCATTTAGATGAGAAGGAGTCATTTTATAAAATGCAGTCAATTAGAAAGAAAGCTAAACTGATTCAAAGGAACGTGTCATTACTTTTATCAATAGTCATATTCTTTATTATGTGGTTTGGTGGAGCAACAGTATTTTTTTTCTGTGAGGGATGGTCATATATTGATGCATTCTATTTTTGCTTTTTATGCCTAATTACAATTGGTTATGGTGACTTTGCTCCAAAATCCTCTCTTGGTCGAGTATTTTTTGTATCTTGGGGTATTGCTGCAGTCCCTCTAATGACAATTATAGTATCAAATGTTGGTGATAGATTATATGAATTTGCGGATAATACGAGTTATTTTATAAGTAAGTGGTTTAATAAGGAGTATTATGGGTATTTGAATGCCAAAAAAGATCCAACAAACATAAAAGTGAACAGCAAAGTAGGAAGCGATGGAAGAGAGGAAAGTATTGTGGTGGTAGGCGAAAGTCAGGAGCTAAATATACCGAATAGGGCCACTTCTCAAGACATAGTAAGAACAAACTCAATTGATAAAATAGGGAGTTTTGAAGAATCAATTTTGGATAATAGTCAAGATCAGAAAAATAATGAACAACTCGTGATGTTAATGGCCGAACGAAAAAGATTCATTATAAATATAGTGCTGACACTAGATCGATTAAAACCGCTTATTTTAGATGCATTAGAATCTCCTTTAAAGTCATATGAACATCGGGAATGGTCAGATGTGCTATTTGAAACCGATAAAAATAAGAGCGGAACAATGATTGTAGAACCTAAAATGGATATGTTGGTTCTGGTCTCCCCTGAGAATATTCTACATTCTTGGATAGGGGACAGTTCACCATTGAGGCTTCCGTTGAATGAACCCCGCTACTTGATAATGAATATTATTGAGAACCTTGAGAATCACTTGCATGATATAAATGTTCGTTATCTGGATCGTTATGAAATTCTGCTTAAATAATTATTGTCAATTTTGTAGGATCATTATTTGCATTTCATGATGGCCACAGACCTTATTCTATGTCTTTTGTGTATTCTCTTAGATTTCGGATAACGCAATTTACATTCTGATGCGTTGAAATGCTGATTACTGTATCAATTTCTGCTTTTAACAATACGAGAGAGCGGCGAAACAATTACTACGGTCAAAAAATAATGGACTATCGTTTGATATTTATTCTCTTTATTTTGAATTAACTACGAGATAGTATGTTGCAATAGGTAATTGCTTAGCTTTTCCTGCTTTATGTTAATATAATCCTTGATGAATAGGTGGGCTTTTAGTTCGAGCACTGTAATATTGGGTAAAAGTCTGTTATGAGTAACACAAGCGAAGCCACATTTCAAAAATAATAAAATAATTGCGTAGGATAGAAATTATTTCCTCTTAGGCTTTTATTGAAAGCTAGAATATTGTGGTTATTGTAAATTTACAAGTCTCCAGTTATGAAAAGGCATTTTTTTATCTTGAATATCCTAAATACTAAATTACAAGGTATCTATGAAGAAATATTTGTAAAAATTAAATGGTTTTTAGTATGGCTTGTGGCAAATTAAACCTTAGAATATATCCAACTATAAATAAATCAACAGTGCCACAGAGTGGAAGACATATTTATTAATCAAGCAATAATATCCAAGAATATACCATTCAGCTTATAAAATTGAACTAACTATATTACATTACGGCCAGATTTAATATCGCTGATGTTTATTATAAAGGTCAAACAAGAGTATCAAGAAGATGATTTAGAGATTGAGTAGATTGATCCTTGATTTATAGTCCCAATAATTAGAAAGCTCAAAAATTATATATTCTGACTAAACTTCATTGTCAAAAGGTAAATCTTTTAATATACTTTGTAAGCTTCCAAGATACTCCACCTCCTTTTTGCTTAAAGTGCACTGAGCAGGAACAAATATTTGATTACCTCTAATTTCAAATTCTCTTGAACCCTGGATATATTGAATATCTTCGTTAAGAGTATGTGTTGATTCTTCCTCCAGTTTTTCATGGATATCATCATTTTTACTCGATGCTGCAGGTCCCGCATACCACCAGTGTTCTGGATACCTTCTGATTATATTTCCCGTAATTAATGCAACGCTAATTATCAAAACTGAAGACACCAAATGCGCTGGCAAATACCACCATCCCATTGATCTCACTTCTTCATTTGTCGAAGGCAATAGTGCAGAAGCTCCAGCTGGAGGATGCACACAGTTGAATAATGACATTAAGACAGACGCAGTTGATACACTTAAAGCTCCTCCTGCCCAGTAGTTGGAGCGCCCTCTACTTGACAATGAAAATAATTTTGTAATACATTCACCAGTTAAAGCAGAGACAAAATGCCCGAATAAGATATTTCTGGGTTGCGCAACTGGTGAATCATGCGTGTTGAAAGACAAAATTGACGTAGCTCCGTAACTTGCAATGATCATCGGTGCATTATGCGGAAAGAAAACAGTTTTATGGCTTTTGAAAACGCCTTCTAATAGTGCTATTCCACTGAATGTTGAAATAAAGACTTCTAGCCACACCCAATAATCTGCCTTGGGAGGTGGACTATGGCAACCTAAAAATCTCCTGAAGGCTTTGGGTAGCTTTTCAACTTGATTTCCTGGAAGATATTTAGTCGTTATTTTGTCTAACGAAAACTGAAATACCATTGTGATTTTCTTTAATAACTAGATATTTTATATTAATCTGGCAGGTATAGGGCGTATGCCATCTTCTTTTATACCCCCTTGGATTTATGCCAACAGTAAAATCTCCACATTTATAATAATATGTAAATTTATTGATGACCTTGAAAAAGTTTTGCTATTGATAATGAATAAATTATCAACGAATATTTCATAAATTAGAGTTGACACTTTTATTCTATTTATGGAACCTACATCAAGGATGCTGAGCCGCGCAGCGGTCCGAAATTTCCGATAAAATACAGAAATTTCAAGCAATATTATATCTTTCATTAATTATAGGATAATATCATACCTAGCTGGAGTGAATAGCTTATAGTATGATTATTGTAGAGGTTAGGTCTTATTATATTGAAAATAATATATTATCATCTCTCCAAGGAAGGGAGCCAAAATGTTCCATATTCTGTACCTTTGATATGTACGAAGTGGATTGCATGACCGCAACGTTATGACCGCCCAACGGTTCGCTTAAATCTAGTAAGTGACTAAATTATAAATGCACTTCTGTAACATGAAACTAGTTCACATATGCCCAATATATACTTATAGACTGATGAATAATGAAATTGCATTGAACTATTAACCGTTACGCTGTAGTGTTGAATGTTAACTAACGCTACCAATTTACTAGGATTTAAATACGTAACCTTCGCTAGCTTTTCTGGAGGTTCGGACTTCCTTATCTAACGTAAATTAATTGACTATAAATCTCTCCATGATTAATATGACTCTAGGAGGCTTAAATTTCGAATATTTGAAAAAGAACTTCATGACCTTCTTTGTTTTTATAAATGATTATTTCAAAGGGAATCGCCGCTAGTTACTCATGTATACTTGTAATATATTAGACAAAAGCTGGAATACTATTATGTCAAAAACAGAACAGAAACCATACATGTCCCAGACCCAGGATTTTAGCTTTACGTTGCAGCCTTACAATGGAGGAATGCCTAGTGAAGACGAAAATCAGAGTAGTCCTAATATGGTTTCTCAATTTTCAACTCAGAAAGGTAACTGTTATTGCGTGGCTCTTCCCAATTATGAAAGTGATAGACATGCTTTATCTTTATCATTCGGTACTAGGCCTAGTAGACGTACATGCAATAATTATCAACAAGGTTGTATTGCTAGTGATGTTCTCCCGAGCTTGTGTAATTTAGTAAACATTAGCGATAGGCGCCAGTCGGAGTATCATTCACTACAAAGAAATTGTTCCTCCGGACCAGAAAACGTGTGCTCACAACTGCAATGTCTTAAAGTTTCAATTCAACTCAATAATAAAAGAAATGAAGAAGGTGAAAGATTTAAGTTTCTAGAGGGAGACGAAATAAAAGGATATGTTACTATATCAAATTGTTCGAAAAAAAAGTTACCCTATACTGCATGTTTGGTAACTTTAGTAGGATACATATCAGTAAAAACAAGAAAAAAATTCAATGTATTATATCAAAAAAAAATAATTCATCGCTTTCTTTCTATGGTTGATTATGACGCTTCAAATTCTTTATCTAATTCTGATGACGTTGGAAGTTCAATTGTAGTCGATAAAGAAAACTCATATGCTTTGAACGAGACGAAAAAAATATATATTGAGCCTTCCACATCTCGCAGAGAATCGTTCAAATTCAAATTACCCGAGCATTTAGCAAACTGCGCATGCCAAATACATAATTTGCAACAACATTGTGGACTATTGCCTACATTTGACTTACGCACAAATTCTGGTTCAGTGCTACAAAAATGGTTCAAAAAGGGTTTAAGATCACTAAGTGGTGATACCCTAGAAAATAAGAGACTAGGTTCACCAGATTCTGAAGCCTCTATAAGTTATAATGTTGAAGCAAAGGTTATAGGTGAAATCTCTGATTACCAGGAATATTTATACTCTTCATATCGAGCTATCGAAAAAAAGTTGCTCAAGAGACTTATTATTATAGATAAGGCAAATGTTACTATATGTGTCCTGCCAACAAGTGATTTGGTATACTTAGATCAAGAATTATTTGGTATCCTGTGCAAAGAAATATACCACGATTTGATTGAAAGAGCACAAAAAAAAGTTTATTCTAATGAAAAGAGAGTGTCTATTGAAAAACTGCCTTCTGTTTGTAAGATTCAACAACTATATACCAGCGATAAGGATATATCTTTCAAAACTGCACAGACTTTAAATGGATCTAAAATGGGAGACGGAAATATATCTACTGACTTATTCTTGAGCTTACCAAATTCATTGGGTACCACCAGCATAATATTGCCTGCCATGCTGTTAAATATTTCTTCTTCACCTCCTTATATGCGTGCGAATGGTGATAATATAAACCACACACCATATACAAGGAGAATTCCGATAAATTTAGAATTTACTCCGTGCTCTCTAAAAAAGAGTTATAAGTTTCCAAAAGTTAGTAAGGTCTCTTTAGAACTAGTTGCATTGACGTTCATGTCGCGAACACTTCCAATTCCAATTGCAATTAATCATGATATACTATTTGGAAAGAAGAAGATTACGGATGATAAAGTTTATGATCCTTTTGAAGAACAAATTAGAAAGCCTTTTCGGTCCCTATTTATAAACATGAATATGACTCTAATAAAGAAAGACGATTGCCAACTACTTCTTGATCTCAGAAGTTTAGCTTACATGGAATACGAATACGAGAGCACTTTTGTTCCAACTTTAGAAGATAGTTTGAGTGGCGAAGTTTCGAAGATTGTGTCTTCGACTCCATGGAAACTGTCAGGTTCGAAGGACCACAACCACTTTAAGAAAACGATTAACATAGATATATATGCAACTGAAATGAAAAAAACTCTCGAAAAGATACACTGGATTCCAGAATTTCAAAGCTGTTTTATGGGAAGGCTATATTTTTGCAAAATCAATATCAAAATGAGGAATATGCACGATATATCGATTTACATGCCGTTGTCAATTATGAGAGGTGAAGACAATGCTTAAGAGCTCTGTTGGATTTTCACTTGGTGTCTACTTAACTATTGAATAATAAAATGTTCAGGTCATATATATATAGTAAGTGCTAATTAAAAAATCTATTTTAAGGGAAATTTGAAGCACATACAGATAGAAGAAACAAATAAACTAAAAGTAGTTGATTGTTAGTGAGCTATAATTTTAATCATTTTGGATTATTGAGAATTATAAAAACAATGAGAGCTTCCACTTACGATACCAAAATAAATTGACTTACTGATTATCCCGTTGAATTGGCGAGAATTTTATACATATTTATTAAAATATATACCTTATTCATATTTTAAGTGCAGCGTTCCTTTTCGAGGGATTATGCAAGTGAAGCTTATGCTGCAATTATTATACATTAAGTATGATTGGTTGATACTCGGTTATGAGCACATTGGCATACGTAGTCGATATCAATCTTCTAGATGACAAGGTATTGAAAGAATCGAATACAGGCAGATTCTAAAACAGGACTGATTCCTCTACATGCGGATATAATAATATAAATCCCAGTCTTAAGTTGCTATCAATCATGGATAAAAAACCTACAGATATATCAAAATCATTGAATAATAACTGTGTTATATTTTATTTTACAAGAACAGTAAGGTGTCCCTTGAAATGAAGTTACGCGGAACTCACCATTTTTAACTAATACTATTAGTTGAAATAATCTCTTTAACTGTACATTAGCTTTCAGCCAATTTTTACTAGCTATGGTTTCGTCGACAGAAAGCGATTTCAAGAGCTTCACTAAGCGAAGTAGTAGATCAAGTCAACGGGCATCAAGGAAGTCTCAAGGCACAGATAAATCTTCAAGTGTAACGAATATGCTTAATAGAAAGAGGGAATTCTTTGCAAGTTTACGGTACACTTGTGGAATTGTCATATTCTTTTTTTATGCTTTTTATTATTAGCTTTAATCTGCGAATGGTAATAATCCGTCATTTTTTGTAGTTTGAAAGTATTCTCTGAAAATCTATTGTGGACGAACATATTTCCAGTAATATCACACAGATGGTCTAATTATTTGATATAAAGATCTTTGATAGAACTATGGACCAAAGATGTACTCAATCAAATACTTCATAAAAAGTACTTCGTAATATCTCCTTGAACTTTGATACACTGTAACCTATAAATCCGAAACACATATTAGTCCCATGAAACGCGGGTCTATGTCTAAGTAGAGTCTTTATTCGGTTCCGATTGATACTATTTATTTCCCGACATGGTTGAGTAAAAGTCAATGCCGACTTTTTTTATCCTATTCTTGCCCCGGTATTGTCCCTACTTAGAAGTATCAGCTTGCGAAGAAAATCCGACCGCCGTAGTATTAACCGCATAGCTTCTCCCCGCTTTGAGTTTACAATCTTTTATAGTATGGCTAGAACCATTTCGCTTGGAAGAACGAAGACGGAAAATTGCATTGCGAAAATTCCGTAACTATTCCAAAATAATTTAAGTTATTCTATACAATAGAACCAACCGCCGGATATATTTTAAGACCGGCAACGCTTTACAATATCACTAGTGTTGCACTAACAATTATGATATAATTTCTAGTTGAGCGCTGAATTGCTCCTCTTTTAGGAAAGGCAACGGTCCATGAAGAATATTTATCCCCTGATCCGAGCGACTCCTCCCGGGGTCAGCATGTATGACATAAGCATCAGCCATATGCTTCCCTAATACGGATTATCGCGGAACTCTTCAGTATGGTGATCCAGGTCAATCCCGAGTTTCTCCTTGGCAATAACCCCAGATATCAGTTGGTTTTGTGGAGCAACGGAAGTTCCTTTTCCCCGGGGTAATTTTCCACAGTATAGACTATATGTTTTAATTAGTATAAATAGGTAAGCAAATCCTTTCTTTGACAGACATTCTATTTATTCTAAATCAGAACTGGTACAAGTAACTTCAGGAAAAAAAGAAGTTTTTGCTATTATTTTTTAAGACATAAGAATATATTCAATATGACACCTCCTACTGCTGTTGAATCATCAATTAACTTTGGTGGTCACCCAACAATTAAGTCTATCGAAGACCCAGTTGTGAAGAAATTATCATTAGCTGATGACACTGTTATTCGTCACAATGCCCCACCACCAACTTTATATGAAGATGGTTTATTAGAAAAGGGTACAGTCATCTCGTCTACTGGTGCTTTATTGGCCTACTCTGGTAAGAAGACGGGAAGATCTCCAAAGGATAAAAGAATTGTTGATGAGGAAACCTCTACCCAAAATATTTGGTGGGGTCCAGTCAACAAGCAAGTTGACGAATTAACCTGGAAAATTTCTAGATCCAGAGCATTGGACTATTTGAGAACCAGAGAAAAGTTGTTCGTTGTTGATGCATATGCCGGTTGGGATCCAAGATACAGACTCAAAATTAGAGTTATTTGTGCTAGAGCCTACCACGCCTTGTTCATGACTAACATGTTGATCAGACCTACTGAAGAAGAATTAAAGAACTTCGGTGAACCAGACTTTACCATTTATAATGCTGGTCAATTCCCAGCTAATGTTCATACCAAGGGTATGACTTCTTCTACTTCTGTTGAAATTAACTTCAAGGATATGGAAATGGTTATCTTAGGTACTGAATACGCTGGTGAAATGAAAAAGGGTATTTTCACTGTTATGTTCTACTTAATGCCAATTAAGCACAAGATTTTGACTTTGCATTCTTCTGCTAACCAAGGTGTCGAAAAGGGTGATGTTACATTATTCTTCGGTTTATCTGGTACCGGTAAGACTACCTTATCTGCTGATCCAAACAGAAAATTGATAGGTGATGACGAACATTGTTGGTCTGACAACGGTGTCTTCAACATTGAAGGTGGTTGTTACGCTAAGTGTTTAGACTTATCTGCTGAAAAGGAACCAGAAATTTTCAATTCTATTAAATTCGGCTCTATCTTAGAGAATGTTGTATACGACCAAAACACTAAAGTGGTTGATTATGCTGATTCTTCTATTACTGAAAACACAAGATGTGCATACCCTATTGACTTCATTCCATCTGCTAAGATCCCATGCTTAGCTGATGAACATCCAACAAACATTATTTTGTTAACCTGTGATGCATCTGGTGTCTTACCACCAGTTTCTAAGTTGACAAACTCTCAGGTTATGTACCATTTCATTAGTGGTTACACTTCCAAGATGGCTGGTACTGAAGAAGGTGTTACTGAACCACAAGCTACTTTCTCTGCATGTTTCGGTCAACCTTTCTTAGTATTGCACCCAATGAAGTATGCTCAACAATTATCTGACAAGATCAGTAAGTACAATGCTAACGCTTGGTTATTGAACACAGGTTGGGTTGGTGCTTCTGCTGCTCAAGGTGGTAAGAGATGTTCTTTGAAGTACACCAGGGCAATTTTAGATGCTATCCACTCTGGTGAATTGAACAAGGTTGAATACGAAAACTTCCCAACTTTCAACTTGAATGTTCCAAAGACTTGTCCAAACGTTCCATCTGAAATCTTGAACCCAACTAAGGCTTGGACCGAAGGTGACGCCTCTTTCCAAAAGGAAATCAAGTCATTAGCTGGTAAGTTCGCTGAAAACTTCACTAAGTACGCTGATCAAGCTACTTCTGAAGTTAAGGCTGCTGGTCCTGATGCTTAATTCTTCAATCTTCATTAATTTATTTACCTCATTTATTTATATAGTGTTAATTCAAATCAAGTATTTTCCGTTATACCATACTATGTAAGACAAAATGATGATTGTTGCTCGGATACTATTGTTGCAAAAGCTAAAGCCACCAATTAAGCTATAGCTAAACTTTATTGAGACTCCGCAGTGAAAAATGAAATCTCAAGTATAGCAGGGTAGCCGGATAAAGAGGTACAAATCACGTGACAAAATTCCATCGTTGTACGGCTAGGGTCTATTAACCAAAGTATGATCAAGATTAGTGCTAAAATATAGATTCTATTTTGATAAATAATGGGAGGAGAAACAGGGGAAGTATTCCTGAATATTTTAGAGACCTGGTTTAAAGATGTGAAAGGTTCTCTTGAAATTTTGAAACCATCTTGGACTAATTGTTGGGCTATTTGTATAGGAGCATACATATTGTTCAGAATATTAAAACGAATTAATAATCATGTTTTAATGAAAAGGTTTGGAGCAAAGCCAATGCAAATGGAAGCCCCTAACTCATTCTGGGGTATACCGTTAATGTTTAAACTTTTAAAAGCCAAAAGAGAAGGAACCATGGTAGATGTGACAAAGGAACGGTACAAAGAACTTGGTGTTGATACCTTCGATGTGAATATAGCAGGGACTCATGCTATTGTTACGCGCCATCCGGAGAATATCAAGGCAATTTTGGCTACTCAGTTTAACGATTTTGCTTTGGGAAAAAGACATGCTCATTTTAAACCTTTATTGGGGAGTGGTATTTTCACATTGGATGGAGCAGGATGGAAACATTCACGGGCGATGTTGAGACCACAGTTTGCTCGGGAACAAGTAGCGCATGTACAGTCATTGGAACCACATTTACAAACGCTTGCAAAACATATCTTGAATACTAAGGGACAAAGGTTTGATATTCAGCCATTATTTTTCAGGTTAACTATTGATAGCGCTACAGAATTTTTATTTGGCGAATCGGTTGAGAGCTTACATGATGAAAGTGTTGGTTTTACTAAAGATCCTGTTGATTTTGATGGTAAATCTGGATTTGCTGATGCATTCAATATTTCTCAAGCATGGCTAGCCTCGAGAGCTGTAACTCAGAATTTATATTTTCTTGTGGATGGTAGGAGTTTCAGGAAATCAAATGCCAGAGTGCATAAATTCGCTGATTACTATGTAGAGAAAGCATTAAATGCTTCTCCAGAAGATTTAGAAAAGACGTCAAGGGATGGTTATATTTTCTTATATGAATTGGTTAAGCAAACCAGAGACCCTATTGTTTTGAGGGATCAACTATTGAACATATTATTAGCAGGCAGAGATACCACTGCTGGGTTATTATCATTCACATTTTTCGAGTTAGCACGAAACCCAGCTGTTTTCGACAGATTGAAGGAGGAAATATATGAGAAGTTTGGAGATGGAGAAAATGTCAGAATTGAAGAAATAACTTTTGAATCTTTGAAGAAGTGTGAATTCTTAAAGTGTGTTTTGAATGAGATTTTGCGAATGTATCCTTCGGTGCCTCAAAACTTCAGATGTGCAATTAAGAATACTACCTTACCTAAAGGGGGAGGACCAGATGGGCAGTCACCAATTTTCATTCCAAAGGGTAGGAGTGTCCAGTATTATGTATATGCTATGCATAGAAATCCAAAATATTATGGAAAGGATGCAGATGAGTTCAGACCTTCGAGATGGTCAGAGCCAGAGATGAGAAAAGTGGGGTGGGCATTCTTGCCATTTAACGGGGGCCCAAGAATTTGCTTAGGCCAACAATTTGCTTTAACTGAGGCTTCCTATGTTATTGTTCGGTTAATACAGATGTTCCCTAATTTAAGCAGTTTCTGTGAAGAATATCCACCAAGAAAGAGTGTACACCTAACTATGTGTCACCAAAATGGTGTTTTTATTGGAATGTCCTAGATTTAACATAGTGGTCTATTTCGTGAGGTTTTAGATTATGCAAATAAATAGTATTAGTATTTCAATAGTTCAGATTAATATATACAATCTATACGATATGGGGTATGTTAATAGCTGAATTCAAGATTAAGAATGTGATTTTAAACTCAGGTATGATACACCCTCAGTTGCAGCACGTTTAAAAGTTAGTGATACTACCCCTTTTATTGTAAGATCTTATTAATTACTCTCTGTCGGATTTAAATCCGTCTCCGTTGGCGCTCCGTTGTACCCTACAAGATAATTTAAGGAGTAATAGGCTTAATTTGGAGGAATTTAGACTGTTCCTTTTGTAACAAGAATACGGAAGCGGATTAAAAGTCCGTTAAATCCGTTTCGTGCATATTCACATGGCTTAAACGGTCTCTTCCATCACATGAACCATGTATACAGTAGTATGAATATAAGGTTACTATTAACAGATTGAATAATGATGGCGAAACATATTGCTATAAATATATCAGGATAGACTAGGTCATAAAGTATTTTCTAAAATTTCTCGAGAAAGTAATAATTGATTTTAATTATGACATCCGCTGTTCATGAGATTTATAAGTCTATTGAACCATACGTAAACAATTGGTGGTTTATTTGCCTTGGATCGTACATTTTGTTCGTGATTTTAACATGGTTCAACAGACGTATTTTGATGAAAAGGCTTGGTGCAAAACCAATGCAGTTCACGGCACCATATCCAATGTTTGGTATCCCATTAGTGTTTGATCTTTTGAAAGCTAAAAGAGAAGGGACTATGGTAAATATTACAAAAGAAAGATACGAGGAATTCGGAGTTGACACATTCGACTTTAGATTAGCAGGGACACATGTAACAGTAACCCGGGATCCGGAGAATATTAAGGCAATTTTGGCTACTCAGTTTAACGATTTTGTCTTAGGCAAAAGACATGTCCAATTTAAACCTTTATTGGGGGATGGTATTTTCACATTGGATGGAGCAGGGTGGAAACATTCACGGGCGATGTTGAGACCACAGTTTGCTCGGGAACAAGTAGCCCATGTAAAGTCATTGGAACCACATTTACAAACTCTTGCAAAACACATCTTGAATACTAAGGGACAAAGGTTTGATATCCAGCCATTATTTTTCAGGTTAACTATTGATAGCGCTACAGAATTTTTATTTGGCGAGTCGGTTGAGAGCTTACACGATGAAAGTGTCGGATTTACTAAAGATCCTGTTGATTTTGATGGTAAATCTGGATTTGCTGATGCATTCAATGATTCACAAACATGGTTAGCTTCCAGGGCGGTAAGCCAAAATTTTTATTTCCTCTTGAATGGGAAAAGCTTTAAGGATTCTAATGCCAGAGTGCATAAATTCGCTGATTACTATGTAGAGAAAGCATTAAATGCTTCTCCAGAAGATTTAGAAAAGACGTCAAGAGATGGATATATTTTCTTATATGAATTGGTTAAACAAACCAGAGACCCTATTGTTTTGAGGGATCAACTATTGAACATATTATTAGCAGGCAGAGATACTACTGCTGGGTTATTATCATTCACATTTTTCGAGTTAGCACGAAGCCCAGCCATTTTCGACAGATTGAAGGAGGAAATATATGAGAAGTTTGGAGATGGAGAAAATGCCAGAATTGAAGAAATAACTTTTGAATCCTTGAAGAAATGTGAATTCTTGAAGTGTGTTTTGAATGAGATTTTGCGAATGTATCCATCTGTTCCGCAAAATTTCAGGTTTGCAATTAAGAATACTACTTTACCTAAAGGGGGAGGACCAGATGGGCAGTCACCAATTTTCATTCCAAAGGGGGAGAGTGTCCTATACGCTGTATATGCTACGCATAGAAATCCAAAATATTATGGAAAGGATGCAGATGAGTTCAGACCTTCGAGATGGTTAGAGCCAGAGATGAGAAAAGTGGGGTGGGCATTCTTGCCATTTAACGGGGGTCCAAGAATATGCTTAGGCCAACAATTTGCTTTAACCGAGGCCTCCTATGTTGTTGTACGATTAATACAGATGTTCCCTAACTTGAGCAGTTTCTGTGAAGAATATCCTCCAAGAAAGAGTTCGCATTTAACTATGTGCCATCAGGATGGTGTATTTATTGGAATGTCATAATTTCTTATTCGCTTATTCAAAAATTATATGACTTAGTAGCTCCCATTTTAAAACTAAACTTGTTATTCGTATATAGTTCAGAGTAAATTTACATTAATATGATTATGACCCTATTCATTACACTCTGTAGTTTAATAGTAGAGTTACATGCAGGACACTAATGTCGAGACGAGTAGTTCTGAAGTGTAAACAAAATTTTATTCTCTTAGTCTAACTACTAACAAACGGAGGTACAAGTGAATCAAAGGTTTCAGAAGTCATATATCAAATATAATGGCAGGATATAGCACTGATTTAAATTGGTCTACTGATATATTTGTGGACTGCTATAATTCAATTAAATATCAAGATCAACTTAACCTCAGCTTGTTAAGCAATTTAAGGAATGATTTATTCAACATATTAAATTTACCTTCGAGAAGTGATACATCCAGAAATAAATTGATTGATGAATCAACTCCGGTAAAATTTAGTAACGGCGACGAGTTCAAATTAAACAAAGAATTTATTGAATCATCGATTTACTTGTCTACAGAACTAAATATCGATGAAATATTAACGGCCGAGCTATTATACAATTCCACTAAATTAGGCTATGAAAAAGGAACAACGTTTATTGATAGTGGAAGATTGGCCTTCTTTACTCGTTTGCAATTTATATTGAATATCTTGGGTTATTTGATATCAAGTAATAATTTGCGCTTGGTTGTGAATGAAAACTATGATGAATTCTTTAACAATCTATTAATCAGTTTTCAAAAAATTTATGAAATGTTAGAGAAATTAAACGACTTAATTGATAAACAGAAAGTAACTAATGATATAAATAATTTATCATTCATTAACACAATAAATTATATCAAGTCTCAATTATTTAATAGTCATGAGGTTTTGGGACAGATATATTTTAGTTTGGTGGATACTTATTTTGAACAGTTTGGGTCGCTTAAGTATTATTCCAAGATCGTCGATCATGTCAGTAAAACTATAAGTGATAATGATATTCTTATTGTTCATTATTTGCCAGGTTTATTTAAGTTCATTACCAATTTGTCAGACATACCAGAACTGGAAGTTTTTCGCCTTCACAAGCAAATTGTCTCAAAATTGAGCAATGAATATGACAAAGCCGTGTCAGAGGAATCAGTTGATTTATCCAAATCTAATTTAAAAGGATTTGAAATAGTTTTGGATTTCGTGATGTTAACTTCTTTTATCCCATGGTGTAAACTCTCAGAATCACGTACTAATACTATTGATTTTAAGGATGATATTTTGAGATATATTGAGATGTGTATAAGTTGTGGGGCTACAGAAGTATTGTTATGTTACACCGCAGATACTTCAAATTATAAAACGTCAGAGTTATTGGACTGGAGTAATTTGTACGATTTTAGATCGTTATTGCAAATGAATTTTCCTCGTCTAAGCCCAGCTAAATTTATCTACACGAATTCGGGTGATTTAATTAATTTGGTGAATTTGAAACCACAGGAATTTGAAAACATAAATAAATTACTCGATATTTCAAATTACAAAGTATCAGACGACTTTAACCAAAATTTATTAGCCCCATTTTTCCATATTTTCTTCAATTACTTTATAAGTAATGCAGCAATTATACTAACGCTGTTGAGAGATAACGAAGAAGATTTTCTATTATCGTCCATTAATAGAAAGCAATTAGAAAATGAAGAAAAAATTTCAAAAAGCGATGAGGGGATTGATAACGATAAGGATGGCGACAGACATGATAACAAAAAAGCTTTTGCCAATAAACATACTGGCAATGATCTGGGCATTGATTTAGATGAAATTGCAACTAGATCCGACTTGGAGCGGTTCTATTTGGCATTTGTATACACTTATAATAATAGACAAGAATTATGTTCATTATTTTGGTCTAATGATGAAATAACGAACGACATAATGGGCTTTGTTACGTGGGGATTGAGTAATAATACTTCTCCGTTGATTTCTGCGACGTTTTGTTTACTATTAGGTTCGTTAGCATCTAGCGGCGATGAAGCAGCCATTAAAATATGGGAAATTTTGGTTAATAACAATGCTACTTCAGCCAGTGCTAGCGGGTCCTTGAAAAAAAGTGATTTTTCTAAAATATCGATTGATTCCATAATTGAATCGTTGAATTATTATATTGAGTCATTAAACGCAAACTTTGAACAAGATTTGAGCTATCAAGCTAAATTACAGCAAAAAAGACAAGAATTTTTATTTTCTTCTTCTTTCAATAATACAGATAATAATAATGAATCAGACGACTATCTGTTAGACAAGGTCTTAATTGAATTATCCGAAGATTCAGTTGTTTTTATTTCAGGATTTATACAGTTGATATCTTCGATTGTTGGAAATTTATCTTCAACAAGTGACAGATCCATAGAAATCAAGAATATAGCCTTTTCTAGATTCAGTCCTGTAATCTGTGCTTTTTTGAAATTCGATAATATAATCACAGTTTCAAGAAGTATACAATTGAACAATAATTTATTTACAGTGACGAATGGTTCTAATAATCCCAAAACATCAGATTCTCCAAACGTTATAGTTAATGACGATAATAGAGTCATCATTGTTAACCTATTGCTAAACTTATTGTCCGAGTTTGTCAATAATGAAGAAAGCTTAGCAATAAGATATAAAGTTTGGAATATAATTGATCGTTGGATATCCCAAAGTATGAATGATGGCGATTCTTCAAAGGCTACTAATAGTAAATATAATGGTGGCAATTATATTAACTTATCGAATCAGCTAAATGGCATTTCAAATAACCAGCAATCTCAATCAAGATTAAAATATCCAAATAAGCGCACTGTAACCATGAAACAGGGCTTTCAACTTTGTTTGACTCGTCTCTCTGTTGTTGGAAATTTCACGAAATTAGTTAGTCATCTATTAAGGCCACTCGAAATAGAATCACAGAAGGCATTTACAGCTTATAAATTACTATACCCTGTTGACTTGGGAGCAGGATATAGGTACGGTAATCAAATTGGTATTTGGCCTTACGTGGAGTATTTATTACTTGAGGTTTTTGCAAAGTCAGATGATTTACCCAATAAAAAAGATCAATATGACTTGAAATTATCATTGATTAGTTTGATTGAAAGTTCATTGAGCGAGATAGACTGGGTATTTTTGAATGATGTTGCTCCTAATATGATAAACAACTTGAAAAATTTAGATAACATAGTTGATTCCCTTTCTCCTAGCAATCCCATCACGTATCAATTATTCATTAAATTACATCATTCTTTAGCCGTAATGAACTATTTATTTGATGAAAAGGTTTACAAGTCACTTTTCAATATTATAAGTATCGGAACTGAGTCAATTAATGAGAATGAATCTTTAAGTATTTTGGTTGATAAATGTTTGACAATCCTTGATAAGGCATTAGAATTACAAGACACATTTGTTCACAGATTGTTGCCTATTTTAAAAATCCAAGAAATTCAATCATTTAATGGTTCCAGTTCTGCAGGCTTCGGCACAAGTATGAGTTTGGCGTTATCAGCCCCTAAAAGTGTGTTTGATAATATTTATTATCCTAAAAATATTGGCACAAATGGTATTTCAGACTTTTTTGAAATTTTTTTGTTCAATCTAGGAACTATAGCCCATTTTGCATTATATGTTAGTTCACCTCAATTAAGCATTGCAAACTCAGCTATAAGGATCTTACACAAGATCAGCCAGTCACCATTTTTTATTGCCAAAGTTGAGCACAATTCTGCAGATCCATTATTAAATAAAAATAGGCTATTAACAGTCTTTGAAAGCATCGATGAGTCTGTTAAAATTCAATTTTCATTTATTCAACAAATAGAGATATTTATTGAAGACTATAGCGATTTGCAAATCAAGTTTAGTATATTACAATTTTTGATTGATAATCTACAACAATCTATTGGAGGACCGGGGGTAGCACATTTCTTGCTAGGCTATGAAATACGCGGTGGAAATTTGTTTTTGAATGATTCAAAGTCAAAAAATACATTATTGAAGTCTTTGCTCAAATCTTTAAGTACAAGCTTAGATTTAATATCTGAAATTGATTATAATAATGGTAACATTCATATTATAGATGCAGCCCCTGCTGAATTATCGTCGAAGATATTAGAGATTTTTGTTAAATTATGCCATGATCCTATTTCTTCTAACATTACATTGAATTATTTGCGTAATTATAACTTAGAATCTAACGATTTGTTTGCCAAATTGATTGATTGCCAACCAAAAATAGATCCAAACACTATATGGTCTAATAGCAAGTTTGAGGGAGATTTACAAGATGGCAAAATGAATAGTTTTATACAAGATTTATTGGCTCCTAGGGCGTTGCTTTCCTTCATTAATCACAGAAATTTAATCCTACAGTATTTATCCTTAGAGTTTCTTAATATCTCTCAACAGAAGGCAATTATTAAGAAAGATTCTTATATTGACTTATTGCTAAATGGTAATGAATTTTTGAATGGGTCGCCAAAGATTTTGAACTTTCTCGATGTCTTAAATTTCAAATTTTTTAACTTCGAGATCTATAAATATGAGATTTTCGATGGAAAATACAATTTGGCATTAATACTAGAACAAATGACTAAGAATAAATTACTGACCGATATATTAGATACATCAGTTCTTGAAAATCTTTACAAAATCATTTGTAAAAATGCAAATAGTCAGCTACAAGGTAGAGAATCAAAAATTTCCTTTTCGCAAGATGTTATGGATGAAGGTTCTAAAATTACTGAGTTTTTGACGAAATATATTATCTCTATTGAATTAAAGAATGTTCAATTATCGTGTTTGCATTCATGGACACAATTAATTCAAGTATTGGTCAGTGATGGAGATATGCCATTAAGCAAGAAGTCAAACCTTATCTTAGAAATTTTTCAAATTATATTGCCCAAAATTAACGACTATTTGGGGCAAGACATTTCATTTTCTGAGGAATTTATTTCCTTATGTGTTTTATTATTTGATTTATATGAACAAGAAAGTTTATCTATAACGCAAGAAAATGACAAAGTATCCTTGTACATGGACAGATTAATTCCATTATTCAAAACCTGCATTAATGGAATAATGAGTTCGAATTCAACGCCTGATTTGAGGTCCGACTTATATGTTTTGGTAAACAAGTTTTTGCAAAAGTCATTTAAAAACAATGATTTAATAAAACAAATAATAGTGATAATTAAGCTGATAGATTCAAAATTTATTGATATCATTAGTAATGATTCGATTTGTGCTGAAGGTGCTCCAAGAATCACTTCATTATTATTATTGGAATCATTAATACATTTATCATCAAATAACAAGGTTAATTTTATATTGGAGTTGATGATAAAGAACAATTCATTATCTTTACTTATTAGGTCTTTGAAAAGGACTGATGAGATGCTTTCTCATTATTCTGAATCTAGTTCCCTGAAAAATGGAATTGATACGTTGTTGTATGAGTTAACTGCATTTAAATCTACCCTTTACTTCTTAATAAGAGTTGCACAAACCAGACTTGGATCATCACAGCTTATTCAAAACGAAATCTTCTCAATTATAAAGCAGTGCAAATTTTTGTCCATTGATCCTGACTTGGGCTTGGAATTGAAAATCAATGAATTGAACGGTAATGACAAATCCATTTACATTAGTTTGTCACTTGATACTCCTATCTCATTGATAGACGTGAACAAACATCATAAATCTGAAAGAGATAACAAAATTTCTTTTTTTGAATTCCTTGTTCCTATCTTCCAATTAATCTCTGCTGTATTATTATCAATGGGACCATCATATAAACCTAGCATAATACAAGCGAAGGATTTGTTACACCATTTCAATAGATTGGTTGTCGGTGTAATGAAAAGAGATGTATTGATTGAAAATAAACAGATCCTGTCCATGAAATATCAAGAAGATACCATCTCATATTTGGGATTAAAGGATTTGGTTCAGTTGATTGTATTATTGGATTCTTTAGTCAATTATGAATCAGATGATAAAAACTAGAATCAATTGTATCTCTATATTTAGATAATTATTGCATAATATACACTTTTGCTTAGACATGAAGAGTGGTAAGAATAGCATTTGGATTAAATACTTGAGAAATTTAATAGATAACACTTGTGTAATTTACAAAGTTTGCGAGGGAACAAGGTTCATATTGTAATGACAATTTGATGTAATATGGATAATGTGCTGCTATGCGTATATATCTCTATAAGCATGTTTTTAGGACTTTTGTAAGGAAACTGAGGACTAATATAGTAATTAATTGTTTATACTTTATATATATGTTCTATTGACCTTATAGAACCATATTTAGCTTCTTATATTACTCTTAGCTAACTAACTAACCTTAACTACCTATAATTAGTTCCTGATTTCCTTACTCTCTTTCTTGAGACTTCGAGGATAATCTACTCTATTCATACACTAAGTTTTGCAACACTGATGTATAACTTTCGCAACATTATATATACATATAATAAATATATGTATACTTGTATTCTCTTACAGATTTTTGTAAGAGAACTGGGTCCAAATTAGATCCTTCTCAAATGTCCACGTTTCTTGATATTCCTTCTTTTTTGGTTTACGAAAGTAAACTTTTTCTCTCAGATCTCGAGCGGCTTCAAAGCTTGCTGCTACGTCCATTGCTTCGTCTAATGTACTGCAATTTCTTAGACTGACTTCATAACCTATCATCTTCTTTAAGCCCAAAATGTATTTTATCAAGTGCCCTTGTTGCAGGTACACATTATCAGGCAATTGGTAAGTTATGTCTCTAAATTGTTGATTATAATATTGGACAGTTGTCGTTTGATGGATACTATGATATTTTCTCGCACAGTCTAATATTGTATCTTGTCGGACGTGAGACGGAAATCTTTCTAGGTATGCTTTCTCAAACAACTTGATATCTCTTCTAGTAATCAGGTCCAACCTTTCATACCATCTTAATGCTTTTCCTTCTAAAAAGGTTGCAACAAACAAAGCTTTGACATCTTCCGGAAGAGCTCTCAACTCTAATTGAAGATGCATTTTCAGGATAAACTCTTTGGGATCATACTCTCTGTTATTACCTGAAAATGGTTTGATGACAGGTATGCCTAGATTCACTGCTACTATGTTACTCATTCTCTGATATCTTCGATCTAACTTGCGGCACTACTAATTGTAAGGGAACTGGGCCTAAATTAGGTAATTTCTATGACTAACACTCAATATACTATGCGGTTCTTACTCATATAACTTTATCTTAACTTATAGATTGACAACTTAACTAATTACTCTCTATTTAGATCCTAATTCCTTTGATCCCTGTTCTGAGATTTATAGGGATTATTCTACGTATTTATAGTTTTGCAATCGTGGCTGTAACTCCAGTTATACCTTCAGCACATGCAACTTGCAACACGTCTACTTCCTAACGTATATATATATGAACAAAACATTTTAGAATTTTAACAAATGGTTTCGTGGTCTAGTTGGTTATGGCATCTGCTTAACACGCAGAACGTCCCCAGTTCGATCCTGGGCGAAATCATTTTTTTCCTGTCCAACTCAAAATGCCTTGCCGAGAGTGACATAAAAGTAACAGGCTCAAAACCATCAGTGCCGCTGCCAAGACTTTATTTTTATACAATTTATCTTCTTTCGCTAGGGCTCACTAGCCAAATTGGGATGCTTAAAGCCGTGCAAAGAAGCCATGCCTTAACTTTTATTATTTAAGATTACGGGAGTAAGTAATGAAGCCGCATAATTAATAGAGTTTTAAATGACGTCTCGATCAAAGAAGAGTTAAAGCTGATCCTATTGGTCTATTACTTGTCGTAGATGAGTTCTTATATGACGTGATAAAAGCAATTCAGAAAGAAAAGAGTATATGCCAGATCTGAGATTATTATGTTAAGAACTTAATTATTATGTAAGATAATTGTAGAAGAAGCCTCATCGCTAGGGAAATTTTCCGCTGGGCAAAAAGAAAAAGCCAATATCCCGAACCGAACGAAGCAAAAACATACATAAACAGAGTGAAGTTACTTCTTCGTATTTATAATTCCTAGTGAAAATATTGTTTCAATACTCATCGGACATACTTGATAAAGGAGACATTAATCGTAAGCTTATATAATATATTCATAAGAAGGTATTGATTAATATAAAGAAGTTCGAAATAAATTTTTTTTGTCAGAATCAAATATCATAGTCAGAGATTAATTAGTACGACGTTGATTATTTGTTAGACATATTATTCATAAAGAGGCTTCGTGAATTGAAGAAAATATGTGGTTGAGATCGGAAAAGGAAGATTCAAATATGATGGAGACATCAAAGGGTGGAAAAATTGATACTTTTGGTGGAGAAGGAGGATCCGCTAACAGTGTTATTTCCAAGAGTTTGTCTACTGGTGGCGCTGATGGAGAAGAGAAAAAATTTGACGAAAAGAAGGTATACCCAAAGGGACACATCCAAAGAAAGTTAGAAAGTCGTCATGTTCAGTTGATTGCGATCGGGGGTTCGATTGGTACAGGTCTTTTTGTGACAATTGGTACTACAGGATTAGTGAATGCTGGACCATTAGGGTTATTATTGGCCTATTCATTTTGGACGTTCATTATTTTGTTGTTGACCACCTCTATAGGTGAGATGGTATCGTTCTTGCCAGTAGCTGCCCCATTTATTACTATGGCTGGTAGATGTGTCGATGAGGCCTTTGAATGTGCAGTGGGCTGGAATTTTTTCTTGATGCAAGCTTTATACATTCCTTTTGAAATTACTGCTGTTAATGGTATGATTCATTTCTGGAGAAGTGACTATTCACCAGCTATTACATTGTGTATCCAAATTTTTATCTATGCATGTATCAATGTTTTTGCTGTTAGACTTTACGGTGAAGCCGAATTTTGGTTATCTATCTCAAAGTTAATTTTATGTATTGGATTATTATTCTTTACCCTTATTACTATGTGTGGTGGTAACCCACAGCATGATGCATTTGGTTTCAGAAACTGGAATGTCGAAGGTGGCCCAATGGGTGAAGTAATTACTACTGGACCTTTGGGTAAATTTCAAGGTTTTTTAGCCGGCTTGATTAGTGCATGTTTTACTGTTGTTGGTCCTGAATATATGTCTATGGTTTCAGCCGAAGCAAAGAACCCTAGAAAAACTATGCCAACTGCCTTTAAGACTGTTTTGTATAGATTGGCTTTGTTCTACATTGGTGGTGCATTGAGTGTGACTATTTTGATCAGTTACAAAGATCCAAAGTACATCGAATTGACTGCAGACTCTTCGAATGCCGCTTCTTCTCCTTATGTGGTAGCAATGCAGAATTTGCACATTGATGTCTTGCCTCATATTGTGAATGCTGTTGTATTGACTTCAGCATTTTCAGCAGGTAATTCATATACATACTGTTCTTCAAGAGCTTTATATGCATTAGCTCAGAGAAAGTTTGCGCCTAAACTTTTTACTTACTGTACTAAAAATGGTGTTCCAATTTACTGTGTTTTGGTTGCCATCTGTTTCTCAATGTTATCATTAATGCAATTGAGTCTGGGAAGTGCTAAAGCTTTAAATTATATGGTTAGTTTATGTACAGGTTCACAACTATTGAACTATGGTTTTATGACAATCACCTACATGTGCTTCTATAGAGCTGTTAAAGTCCAAGGCTTGGATAGAAGAACATTCCCTTATAGAGCATGGTTCCAACCTTACTCCATATGTATTGCAGCATTTTTCATTTGGTGTATGATCGGTATTTTAGGATACACCGTTTTCATTCCTGGGCATTGGGAAGTTGACTCATTCTTGTTTAACTACGTTATGATATTTGTTAGTGCTGCTATTTACATTTTCTGGAAAGTCTTAAAGAGGACTCCTTTCGTTAAGCCTGAGGAAGCGGATATTTTCACAGGCATCGAGGAAATTGAAGAGCATGAATATGAATACTATGCCAAATTAGAGGGTGAAGATGAAGATGGCAAGCATAAAGAAAGCAAATTCAAGAACATGCTTCACTGGATTTTTTGAGTCATTATTTACCTAAAGCATGCGTCCTTTAATTCGTGTATTATTTTTCGAGGCTTTCGGTCCTTGTTATTCTTATTAGTTACTTATTATATTAATTGAAGTTCATTTTGTAAAGAATCTAGTAATTCTACATTTATTCATAAATAGTTTTTATTTTCAAATCACATATGCAAATCTATAATTCATTTTATCAATTAACCCACTCCCAAGTGATATCAATTCTACCTAAACTTTGATCAGCAAGTTGCGAAAATGCACTTGGTGAAAAGTCTAAATCATTTTCAGAGCATCCCTCACATGAGTCAACTACAGTTACTTCAACTGAATTTCCTTCATATGTTGCCTTTATTTTCTTACCGCACAAGGAGTTATCATTCGAGTTACCATTAACCTGGTTTTCTTCGTATAATATATGAGAGACAGCAACAATGTAGTCAGTATCTTGACTTGTTTTTCCACAGGCGCCTAATCCAGTAGAGTAAAATGTTCCTTCACCAGAATGATCGCCCGAAGAAGGTTGTGAAGTCCCAGTGGAGGAAGTACTCGATGAAGTCTCAGTAGCTGGAGTGGCACTTTTAGCAATAGATGTAGGTACGGCATCTTGACTTGCAGTTTGAGCATCAGTAGCAGCAATAGAAGCGGAAGTTGTAAGCTCTTTGGCATTGTTATCTAAATTTGCAACGCCTGCGCCAGAAGTCTCATTAGGAGATGAAGTGACAGTAGCTTCAGTATCTTCAGCGACTGCGATGGAAGTTGCATCTCCTCCGTCTATAACAGTTGATTGAATGGTAGTATAGTGCGTAACATAGACAGTATGAACCTCAGGTACTGGCTGACAGGAGACTAAGTATGCGTTCAATAATGTAAATAAAATAGTTGATGAAAATTTCATTTTTAATGATTATGTTAAGGAAAGACTTTATTTTAAATAGGAAAGTATGAACAAGTTTAAAGGAATGTGTGTTCAGCAAGCCAGAAGGAATGTATTTTCAATTGGGTAAAGGAATGTAAGTACTAACAGAATATATATCATCAAAACGGAGAGAAATGATTGCATTTATATACTCAAGCTGAGATTCTAGATCGCATAGGGTAGCAGGCTGGTTTCTATCCCTTTAAAATAAAAAAAATAAAGATGTGTACGAATATTTCCCCTTTTGATCTGTAAGATTGATTTGGTACCTGAAACATCTTGATCTGATGCGCTTACGACGTTTGAAGGTGCTAATTGTAGTCTACAACGTATATGTTTTGTAAACTAAACGCGCTTCTGAAACAATCGCGTAACGAATTTTGAGGTACCTTATTACACGTTACATATAGGCGTATGAACTGCGAGTAATACTATTTATTCAAAATGGTAAAATATATACGTGGTATATCTATTATCTTCATACTTCCATAAAAAACATAGATAATTTGTAGACCTAGAATTGTTTACTGAACTTACTCCTTGGCTTCAATTCTAAATCTAAATGCTAGTAGATCATACAAATTAAGCTTGTAGTCACTTATGCTCAATGCTGACGAATAGAACATCAATCAATGCATTTATGGGGAAAAATATCTTCTAATTGACAGAAAAGCCATTTGCTTTGAAAACTTGTTAATCCTATAGCTTTAGCTCTTAATCTCATATTTCTGTCATCAGTGATTAGAATACAATAATTAAATGACTTAGATGCAGCTGAATCCAAAACAACTGCTTCATTGGATGGACCGTTTACAGTCAGATTGAGTCCTTTCATTAGTTTTTTGCTCATTTCATCATGTTTATTGACTGAAATCAATATGGTTTCTTCAACATTTGTTCTCCAGTTAGAATTATTCTCAAATTCTGTAGTTTCGTTAATATCTGAGGCAACAGACCCATCGAACCTTAATGGTAAAATCTCTCCCGTAAAATATAATTCTCTGATGATAATGACAGACCTGGTAGCTGCATCCGCAATCGTGGCTTCTGCTGATTTCCTTAGAGATCTCAATTCCTGAAATACGATTAACGGAATCAGAAGTTTTAAAACACTATTCCGAACACATTTAAATACTCTTCCACAATGCTTTAACCAAATGTTTGTGTCTAATGTAATGTATGTAAGTTTGCTATCGATACCATCTCCAAGGTCACCTTCGACCGATGATCTGTGACTTCTGGACGGTAAACTTTCAGAATTGTTCATGAAAATCTCATTATAAAGATCATCGCCGACATTCATTTGGTTTGCATGCTGGAATGCCTGGTCATTCAGTTGCTGAAACATATTTGAACTGGAATCATATTCTAGTTGAGGATCATAAAATTTGGAATTTCCATAATTCTCCAAGTCGTTTTCATCGTCGATCTCTTTATAATTAAAATGCTGGCCACTTGTATCACCCGGGGAGTTCAGTCTGGAAAGATCAAACCATACATCGTCTCTTTCTAATACACTTATATTTTCAAGTGCTGAACGATTCACTAAGTTTTCAGGCGTGATTTGTTGTAAGAAATTGTTCTGCACAAAGCGCTTGTCACTTAATAGAAATTCCTCAATATAAGCATATGCACCCGATTCTCTTGTAGATGGATCAAAGACATCAGAGTTCAAATAAATTTCCTCATCAAACTTGAAGCCTTCGTTTGACCTTACGAGTCCGAATTCATAGTTCTCTGCAATGAACCGTGCAAGTAGAAGGATACGGACAATTCGCTCGTCATTATCAAATTCCAGTTGCACTCTTATTTTCTGCTCGTAATTATTAATCAGGTCGACAACTGGCGAAGTTCCGCAAATTGGTAAATCAAACAAATTATAATTCTGAACTCCTGCCAGGCTTATGTCACTATAATCATTTTTAGTCGATATAAAATCAAACCACACTGTACCCCAACATTTCCATACTTCTGGTAAAAATTCATTATTATTAAAATGATCGACATAATTTGGATGATTTAGGATATAAAAACGGCACATCTCATTCAATTTTGCGTTATTCTTTGTTACAGAAAGTAATGAATTAAGATAATTGATAATTGATTCCCAAGGAAACAATTTACGAAATATCCACATAAACATAGGTTTCGAATTCGGAAACTTATTCGTTGCTTCACCAACAGAAATTAGAAAGTATAACCATACTACAACATGACATGTCGATGCTTGTTTCGGTCCTATTAAGTAATGGTTCAATATGCGGACAGACAATTCAAGTACAGACTTGTTAATAAACTTTAAACAGTAGAACCAATTATCGGCGGATAGATCAGATGCAGTGATTGCTTGACCATCTACACCACTTGAAATGGTAGCAGCATTAATTGACTCATCGATATGGGATTGGGAACCCCTTGATTTTCTTTTTCGATCTTTTTTATCTTTTCTTTCTTTCAAAACTTCAGGTAACTGAAAAATTTTAGCAAATGGATTTTTAGCATCACCAAATCCTATTAAATGATTAATATTCGCTATGGCAAATAAGGAACCCTTATTAAACCAAAAGTTCATTTTTTCAACCGAATTTGTAGCTCCAGATTGCTGTTGTTGTTGCAAATAGTAGGGATGATGAGTATCATTCATTGAAGTAGTCCCATGTGGGGTGTATATTTCTCCAGTGAAGAAATTGTATCCATTAGAGTCAGATCCAAATGTTAAACCATAACGGGTTACTAAGTCGATACCATACTGTAGTTGTGTATCATGAATATTATCCGCATTACCCGATATATTCTCCGAATTACTGTGGTTTGTATGAATGCTTAATAAGACTTTGTGAATTTTAATAAAGTCAATTGTAGGTAATTCCAATAATGATAGAATATTTCTTTGGGTACAAATATTCTCGACTACTAATCTTAAATATTGTTGAGTTGGGACGAATGGATCGCGACATACTACCGACTTACCAATGTTTACCAAAGCATCTAAGTTATCTTGCTGGACTGTACACATATGATAATAAATTTTTCCATGTCCATACAATGTCTTCATCGCAACAGAATACCAATATTCGGCACTGATCTTCCAATCAATGAATCTAGAGGAATACAAAGCAATTGCCATTCGTGATAAATCCCCCAATTTTTCGGACCACCATCCTTCCATTTCTAGTACAGGATCAGTTAAGTTTGAAATAATATTGAAGCAGTATGCTATAAAGCACAGACAAATCTCGTGATCCTGGAATATACTCATGATATTCTTTAATACCTCTAAAAATCCAACTATACCGTAGACCCACATCCGTCTTGGGATCTTATATAAATCAACTATGTTCTTACCAGTCTTGAATTGAGTTTGATTTGACGTTGGCTTTAATGCAGTGACCAAAAAATCGTAATAATTATCCAATAATGTTATATTATGATGATAGACAGTCCAAAGATCATTCAGTAATTCTGAAGCTTTTGAAGAAGATGACACAGACGATGATGAATTCGCTGATGATGACAATTGTGGATTAACCATAGGTGAATCACGGTAGCTTTGTATACTAGTGCTTGCCGTAGTATTTATTTTAATAGATATCTCTATGCAATTCTTTTGGACTACTTCTTCGAAATTTACGATATTTTTGTATGTGTCTTTGAGTTTTGACGCCAATTGCTGCTCTTCATCTGACATAGTTCGTTGGTAATGCTGCTGTTGGTTTTGTTGCTGATCTGGAGGAGAAACCTCATGGACATTTTCTTGCTGTAAAGGCTGCCCTTGCATTATAGGGTTCATCAGCAGAGTAATTTCCTTAGTCCCAGATGAGAATTCTGAAGATTGCATATTATCTGCATGTGCTTGAAGAGTCCTGCCTTGTGGCCTATTAGGTTGATTCTGATCTAGTGCATTTGAATCAGACAGATCAGAATTATTGTTAGCAGAAAGGCTTGACATAGGATTAATATTCGGACTTGACGGAACATCATACGCCGAAGGAGTAGGTGTTTTCATGGTTCCTGTAACCACTGGGTTTCCATTATGCTGACTTTTTTGATTCTGCATCATACTTCTTCTAACATTATTACGAATCATTGGATTATTACTAAGTCTCTGCGATGAAACACCGGCCGCATTAACATTAGCTGATATTGTATTGTTATTTGGGAAGTTGAAATCTTGTGTATTTTGCATAGATATGGGCATCTGTAGAGGGTTTGGGGTTCGTTTATTCGAGTTATTGGTCATGTAATTTGACAAGCTGTTTTGCCGTTTTTGTTGTTGTGACGAAGGATTGGAAGGCTCACCTTGGTACGAGTTAACCATAGGATTCCTATTAAAGTCTGCCACCAGATCAGGGATATAATTGAGGTGTTTATTATTCATAATAAATAAACCTGCTGGGGAGATACAAATTTGAATGGGAACTGATAATTAGGCCTTGATCTGAAGTCAAAATTGATTAGACACTTCTACGTATCAGTTTCTGTATGGAAAATATTGACCCGCGGACGACTTCGACTGACTCTTACAAATTGCCATGATCTCGAATAAACGATAGCAAACTACATATATGAGCCAAAGCCATGTATTATAACGGGGATAGCATAAACACCGAGATTATGCTATGTTTGTCATTTGTTTTATGGAAATCTTGTGAACCTGACAGGCTATTTCATGAATATAGGCTAGATGAACCGACTTATACAACTATAGTTTCCTCGAAACAAATACTTGATAGTCTCGCAGCTATCATATTTTAAACACTTGCTGTTTGATCATTCGGCCAGTACGGACTATATATAATCAATTGTAGACTAG